GCCTGGGGGTGCTGACTCTGGGGGTGCTGAGCCTGGGGGTGCGGACACTGGGGGTGTTGAGCCTGGGGGTGCTGTGCCTGGGGGTGCTGAGCCTGGGGGTACGGTGACTGGGGGTGCTGAGCCTGGCGGTACTGCGCCAGGGGGTCCTCCGCCTGGCCGAGACCTCTCCTCGGAGCAGTTGCGTGAGTGGTACTTACAGTACTGCAGCCTCCGGAGGGGTACCTCTGGGACCAGGCGCGCTACGGAGACTGGTGCTGGCACTTCTCCTTCTATTCGGGAGCTCCCCTCTCGTGAGCGGATCCGTGAGTGGTACGAGCGCCGTTGCACACTCCGTAGTGGCGCGCCTCGTCTCACGGACCCTGCTGCTGCTGGTGCTGCGGACCCGGGCGTTGGAGCTGCTGCTGGTGCTGAGGACCCGGGCGTTGGAGCTGCTGCTGGTGCTGAGGACCCGGGCGTTGGGGCTGCTGCTGGTACTGCAGACCCGGGCGTTGGAGCTGCTGCTGGTGCTGCGGACCCGGGCGTTTGAGCTGCTGCTGGTGCTGAGGACCCGGGCGTTGGAGCTGCTGCTGGTGCTGAGGACCCGGACGTTGGGGCTGCTGCTTGTACTACGGACCCGGGCGTTGGAGCTGCTGCTGGTGCTGAGGATCCGGGCGTTGGAGCTGCTGCTGGTGCCGAGGACCCGGGCGGTGGAGCTCCTGCTGGTACTGCGGACCCGGGCGTTGGAGCTGCTGCTGGTGCTGAGGACCCGGGCGTTGGAGCTGTGACTGGTGCTGAGGACCCTAGTGTTGGAGTCCCTGCTGGTGCTGCGGACTCGGGCGTTGGTACTGCCGCTGGGGGCACTGGTGCTGTCCCTGCTGTGTCTGCAGTCGCCGCGCGCCCTCAGCCGTACTTCGTTCCGCTCCTTCAGCAGGTTCTTGGTCTCTCGCCTTCTCCTGGTCCTCCCCTTCCTTTAGGGTGTCCACTGCCTGTTCAGTCACTGCCTGCTCCTTCTCCTTACTCTGGTCCTACTGACGGTCTTACTGAGCGTCGTGAGCCTGCGTCTCGCCCTGCATCGCCTGTCCGTCCTGCTAGCACTGGAGCTTGTACTTCGCGTCCACGTCCTCCTCCTGCCCCTGGCACGCACCGGATGTCTCTGCGTCCGTCCACTGCCCATCTGCGTGCCCCTTTGCCTTCTCCTCCTGCTTCCTCTCTTCCTGCTCTTGCCGACCCGGAGTCGGACTCTCTTCGTGCTACCAGTCCTACTGTCACGCGTCTACTTGCTACTGCCGTCACTGACCCTTCTTTCGAGTCTTCTGCTGCGTCTGCCCTAGTTGCTGAGCTCGTCGACTTTGCTGCTCGCTGTCGTCTTGACTACGCTGCTAGTCTTGTCGCTGAGTCTGAGTCTGTCTGTCCTCCGTCCGTCGGGGGTGCGTGTGCCCTTGGCACGTACGTCCTTGAGGACAGGCAGGAGGAGTTTCAGTGCTTGGCTGCCGCTTCACCTCACCTCGCGTCTGTACTGCTAGCTCCTGAGGGAGACCCGGATGCACTAGACATCCCGACTCCGCGCTCTTACGCGGAGGCGATAGAGGGTCCCTACTCCTCTCAGTGGCAGGCAGCTATGGATGCAGAGATGGCTTCCTGGAAGTCCACAGGCACCTACGTTGACGCTGTCCCCCCTCCTGGGGCGAACATCGTCAGTGGCATGTGGATCTTCAGGGTGAAGCGGCCGCCGGGTTCTCCGCCTGTCTTCAAGGCGCGTTACGTGGCTTGTGGCTTCAGTCAGCGGCAGGGGGTTGACTACTTTCAGACCTTCTCCCCCACCCCGAAGATGACCACTCTTCGGGTACTGCTGCACGTTGCTGCTCACCGTGACTACGAGCTGCACTCTCTCGACTTCAGCACAGCTTTCTTGCAGGGCAGCCTGCACGAGGAGATCTGGCTACGCCGCCCACCTGGCTTCACTGGGTCTTTCCCTCCTGGTACCCAGTGGAGTCTCCGGCGTCCAGTCTACGGTCTCCGCCAGGCGCCGCGTGAGTGGCACGACACACTGAGGACTACGCTGGCGGCACTTGGGTTTAATCCTTCCACTGCAGACCCGTCGCTGTTTCTGCGCACCGACACCTCTCTGCCGCCGTTCTACATCCTCGTGTACGTCGACGACTTGGTCTTTGCCACAGCTGACACTGCTGGACTCGCCTACGTGAAGTCCGAGCTGCAGAAGAGACACACGTGTACTGACCTGGGTGAACTGCGCAGCTACCTTGGCTTGCAGATCACCCGGGGCAGAGCACGCCGCACCATTACCCTGACTCAGTCACACATGGTGCAGCAGGTCCTTCAGCGCTTCGGCTTCACGTACTCCTCGCCTCAGGCCACTCCTCTGCCTACTCGCCACTCGCTCTCAGCTCTGCCTTCGGATGAGTCTGTAGAGTCGAGTGGCCCGTATCCAGAGCTTGTTGGCTGCCTCATGTACCTGATGACCTGCACTCGACCTGACCTTGCATACCCTCTTAGCATTCTCGCACACTATGTTGCTCCTGGGAGACACCGACCAGAGCACATGGCTGCAGCGAAGAGGGTGTTGCGTTACTTGTGCAGTACGTCGGGCATGGGACTAGTGCTTGGAGGGCGGAGTCCAGTGGTCCTCACTGGTCACGCGGACGCTTCTTGGGCTGACGACCAGGCTACGCAGCGGTCGTCACAGGGTTACACCTTCAGCCTTGGTTCCGGCTCTGTTTCGTGGCGGGCTACTCGCTCGTCTTCTGTTCTCGGCTCCAGTTGTGAGGCTGAGATCTACGCAGGGGCCATGGCTGCTCAGGAGCTTCGCTGGCTCACCTACCTGCTGACCGACCTTGGAGAGCCGCCTCGTTCTCCTCCAGTCCTGTACGTCGACAACAAGGCCATGCTGGCCTTGTGTCGAGAGCAGAGACTGGAGCACAGAACAAAGCACATTGCTCTCCGCTACTTTGAATTTCGCCTGGTCAACGCGTTCAGCCACGCGTCAACTTGACAGTCAACGACTTCTACACCGTCAGATCCGTTTCAACCGAGGTCTGCAGTTTTCACGCTACTGCAAGACTCGTTTCCGTATAAGGGGGCCTTATCTAGAAGGTGGGAGAGTGTAATGAATATGCAATTCATTACTGTAGAGGCTGCTCCTAGCGAGGACAGCCCGAGCACTTCGCGTCAGGGTGGCTCGTCCTACACTCTCGCACCGAGCCAATCCCGAGTCGCCCCGCACCAATCGCGACATTCCCGAGCCACGCACACCTAGAGGTTCTCGCCTAGCTAGTTTTCGCCCTATAAATACTCGCTTTCTTCATTGTGTGATCATTCTGTAATCACGTCTTCTTTATAAAGTCTTCCGCGCACTCTGTCTAGTAAAACTCATAACATGGAGAGTCATTCAAGGATAAAGCTACCCTAAGAGCGGCACATGGCAAGATCCCCCGGCATCCCTATCATTGAGGGGGAACCAACAAAATCCGTGCCCCGAGTGAGGATCGAACTCACGACCTTAGGATGGCTCCGCCCAGCTAAGTGGGAGTCGGAATGCTATGAGACCTACGCGCTACCGACTGCGCCATCGAGGCTTGTTATAAGGGTTCTGTGTATTTATTTAAAATTAATTTTTGTCTAAGCAGGTCTTCGTTCGGTGGAGACCAGCTTCGGCCTGGTTTCGATTCGGTGATTCCTAGGCGGCCGTCAATTCCAAGGACCCACGAAATCGCAACCCACACCGACCCTTTGCTAAGTAAAATCCGATACGGCGGTTCGTCTCACCACAGCGAGAGTGCTGCGCAGAAGCTCGGACTTTTTTGGACGGCGCCGTCCAAATCACTCGTTTTCCCAAGAATCCATTCCAGCCGCCACGGCAAGCTAGACGGAGACTTTCAAACAAGTGCGGTTGTTGTACAGTTGGGGCCGGGTGGGGAGAGTGCAGAAAAAATCTGCGTCTGCTTCAGTCATTGGTGGTCGCCGCTTCAGCTGCGCTTGCATCAAGTGTGCAACACACGCCACACGCGGCAGACCAGACCAGAGAACAGTCACCTCACCTCGCCAGTCACCAGTCACCAGGGTCACCACTCACCACCACCACCACCACGCCACACCACCACAGAGCAGGCACCCCATTTTGATTTTGCACTGAGCGACGTTTGCTTCCTGTTTTCATCTGGTCTTGTCTGAGCTAAAATGACTTCCAACAGGCAAACCGTCAGTCGTTCTTGCTGATTTCTTCCTCCACGCATCATTTCTTGGAACCTCCTAGCAGCGTCTCGTCGACTCTCGACATCTCTAACGCACACCTGGGCGCAAACGCGTCGTTAGTTACTGTAGCATCTGCGTGGCGTGATAAGCGCGTTGCTCTGAGCGCTCAGCTGGAAAATATATTAGGGAGCCAACCGACGGCGCTGACCACATTAGCCCTCGCGATCATTAAACAATATTTGCGTTGAGGTGTCACCAACCACACCGTCTTTTGCCCCGCATTTCACTGAGAGAACCGTGACGTAGAAATCCGTCCCTACTTAGTAGTAGCCTGAACTGGCAGTGGTCAGCTGGTCTTGCAGCCTTCGCCCAGCCGCGACTCGTCAAGCCTCCCGGTCAGATTGACGGAACCAGGTCTTTCTAAGGCTCGGTCCTTCAAGAACCTTCCTCGGTAGTGACGCCGTAAGTGTCGCCGCAAGTGCCGCCGCTCCTCAAGCATGGCTCCTGAGAACCGCGGCTCGCCGACCGCCGCCCGCGTTTCGCGCCGTACTTTCCGGTCGCCAAGGGCGGGACTGGGCTCCGCACGTCACCCTCAACAGCCGCGCAACAGCCCCATTGCACCCGCCGCTAATGCTTCCCCCAAAACGCGAGTTTCCGCCAATGTTTCCCCCGAAACGCGAGTTTCCGCCAATGCTCCCCCCGAAACGCGAGTTTCCACACCCGCAATAGGTCCGCCTCCTGCGACTCGAGTTCCTAGTCGAAATGGAACCTTTCTTGCCGTTTGCGGAGCCGAACCGCGGCGGGATCTAAGTATGCCAACTGTTGGGATCGCCGCATCTCACGGCGGTTCTGCCGGTTGCACTTCGGATCTAGTTGCACGACCTCTGCAGCGCCCGCTTCGGAGCTTTAAGTTCCCCGCGATTCTCGCTTCCGTCTCCGCCTCCCACGCGACGCCTCCGGGCCTCAGCCTCGCGCCGAGGTTCGGCCCGAGCCTGCTACCGAGCCAGCCGGATTCTGACGATATCTTTCCGTTACCGTCGGGCCCGGAGGAGCTGCAGCGCGCTGTCATTGGCTGGCTGGAAGAGAAGGCGTCGCGCGTGCGTAACTTGCGCAAGTCCACTGCGGAAGCCGGCGGACAGGCGCAGCTCACTCCGCGAGCGGGCTCGCTGGCGCTTGAGGCGCAACTTACCCGCGCAGTAACATCCGCCCATGCGCATCTCAGCCGCGCGCAGACTTCGGCCGGGGATGGCGCAAACCGCGCGCTAACAGCTCTTACTCGCCGACTCGATGACGCAGTGACCACGGTGCGCGGGAAATTGGAACAAACTGCGGGGATCGGCGCGAGATCTGGCGCGCCCTTGCTTGGTCCGGTTGCTGGAGTTGGCGCGCGGATGGCGGTCGTGAAAGAGCGCGTGGGGAACGCGAAGGCGGAAGCGGAAGAGCGGATGCTTTCTTTGCGCCGATTCGGGGAGTTTTGGTGCCGAATCGTTCATGTATACGGCAGCTACAAGGTAAATACACCACATATCACGCATATACATAACCCACATCAGAGTTGCATTCAATAAACAGTATGGATGGAATATCACCTAATGTACCCGAGGTACAAATTATTGTGAAGTACAATTCCCTGTTAAGGCGCTTAAAAAAACAGTAGCGATGTCTCACTTGCTACTCCAAGCTCTCCTGATCTCCTCCTCACCCCCTCTCCCCTCCTTTCTTCCCCACAACCTCATCCCCTCTTGTCCTTCCCCACAGGTTTGCCAGTTGCACACGTCACTCTCTCTCCCACCCCTAAACAACCACCGCCTGTCACTACTCACAGACACACAGAAGCACGCAGCATGTGAGAGACAACTCGAGCGAGCGAACTTTCTATTAGTCTCAAAAGCCCCTTCCAACCACACCCCTCTCCTTTTCCCCACACCCCTCTCCTTTTCCCCACACCCCTCTCCTTTTCCCCACACCCCTCTCTCCCCCTCGCCTCCCCCCACAGGTCTGCCAGTTACACACGTCCCTCGCCCTCCCCCTCCCGGGTAACCGTCACCTCTCCTTACTCACAGACACACAGAAGCACGAAGCATGGGAGAGGCAGCACGAGCGGCTGAGGAGCATTTCAATTGGACTCAAAATTCCTCCGCACACCCCCCCTCATCTTCCTTTTTTCCTCCCCCTCCTTTCTTCCCCACAGGTTTGCCAACTCCACACCTCCCTCGCCCTCCCCCTCCCGGGTAACCGTCACCTCTCCTTACTCACAGACACACAGAAGCACGCAGCATGGGAGAGGCAGCACGAGCGGGCAGCGGACCTGCTCCACTCCCTCTGCACCGAAATGCGCGGCTTCTTCCTTAAAGCGGGGCAGTTCTTAGCGAAGCCTGACGTGTCTCCCCCCGCATGGGTTGCGAAACTGGCCTCGCTGCACGATGCTGCTCCTGCTGACCCGTTCCCGGTGGTGTGCGCGACGATCGAAGGGGAGATGGAGGCTGTAACTGGCAGGAAGGGGGTGAAGTGGACTGATGTGTTTGCGAGGATTGACGAGGAGCCTCTGGGTTCGGCCTCTATTGCGCAGGTACGTTGTTCCAATGTCTCCGGTGTGTAACAGTGTTACAAAACAGTGGTAGTGAGTGCTGTGTCCCGATGGTGTGTGCGACGATGGAGGGGGAGATGGAGGCGGTAACTGGGAGGAAGGGAGTGAAGTGGACTGTTGTGTTTGCAAGGATTGATAAAGAGCCTCTGGGTTCAGCCTCTATTGCTCAGGTACGTTTCAGTGTTACAATGTTACGATGTTGTCTTTTATATGTAAGTGCAGGTAGCTCTGAAGGTGCTACACAGGGGAGCGCAGCTCTTCATACTCTTCAATTTCTCGTTCCTCTCTCTCTCTCGCTCGCTCACTTGCCTCTCGCAGGTGCACAGGGCGTGGCTACACGATGGGAGGAGGGTAGCACTGAAGGTGGCAGTGAAGGTGCAGCACAGGGGGGCGCAGCCGCTCATGCTCACAGACCTCGCCAACCTCTCAAGGCGTTCCCCTCCCCTGCTCCCCCCCCCCTGTCCCACTTGCCTTTCTCAGGTGCACAGGGCGTGGCTACACGATGGGAGGAGGGTGGCACTGAAGGTGCAGCACAGGGGGGCACAGCCCCTCATGCTCACAGACCTCGCCAACCTCAAGGCGTTCGGGGCGTTCCTTCAAAAGACAGAGCTGAAGAACATGGATATCGTATCAGCTCTCGTGGAGCTGGAGAAGCAGGTGAGGTTTGGATGTTCTTGGAATTCAGGTTAGGGCCGTGGGTGGGAAAACACGAAGTCTTGAGTGCAGGCATACAGGTAGGCTCGTTCGTGCGTTCAGTGGGTTTTTTTCAGAGAGGACAGAATTGAGGCACATAGACGTTGTGAGGATTCTAAAGAAGTCCACGTGCCTCAATTCCATTGGACAATGTGTTGACTCTGGTGGAGCTGGAGAATCAGAGGTAGTAAGGTGGTGAGGATGGTGAGGGGGGAACGAGGACTGAAAATGTACTCTGTTTTTCCCAACCATTCCCCCTTCCCTGCAGGTTCGTTTGGAGTTTGACTTCCGGATAGAAGCAGCAGCCATGGAGAGGGTCCACCTTGCGCTGGGCTGAGTGACGGTGGGGTGAATGGTGACTGAAATGGGTGACTCAAGTGTATGCCCTTGTGCTGAACTTCTCCCCCTGCAGGTGCGGCTGGAGTTTGACTTCCGGATAGAAGCAGCAGCCATGGAGAGGGTTCACCTTGCGCTGAGAGGCGGTGGGAAGGGCGGAGAGATGGAGAGAAGGAAATCAGCTGCAGCAGGAGGAGCAGCAGGAGGAGCAGCACGAGGAGCAGAAGACGAAGCAGTCAAGAGCAGAGGTAGTGCGAAGCAGAGGAGGAGAGGTTCGAAACAGCAGCAGTCGGAACGCAGCAGTCACATCAGCTCTTCCTTTTCACCATCCACCTCCTCCTCTTCCTCCTCCCCAGTGGTGGTGCCTCGCCCCGTTTCGGGCCTCGTGAGCCGGCAGCTGCTGGTGATGGATCTCATTGACGGCTCTCCATTGCTGAAAGTAGCGGAGGAGATGAAGGATAAAGCGGGCGGGTTCTTCGCCACAAGAATGAAACGGTGAGTGTGGTGTGGGTGAGAGGTGTGAGCCGGCAGCTGCTGGTGATGGATCTCATCGAAGGTTCGCCGCTGCTGAGAGTAGCAGAAGAGATGAGAAGCAAGGCAGATGGCTTTTTTGCCTCAAGAATTAATCGGTGAGTAGGAGGCCAGTAAAAGGCCTGATCACCCTCTCGAGAAGAAAAAATATTTATTTTCTCTTCTTTTCTTTTCTTTTCTTTGCCTTCAATCGTCACCCATTAGTTTCCAATTCGCACTCTTATGATCCGCAAACACAGCTAACCATCTCACTTCAACAACCCTCCCCTCAACCCCCCATCTTCCCCCCCACGTCAAAAAACTTACTCAGATCAATATTTCGTTCCCTTGGAGAAGCATACGGCCTCATGATTCTTCGCGATGGGTTTTTCCAAGCTGACCCGCACCCCGGAAACATTCTCATCTGCCCGGACCGAAAGGTCGCTCTCCTCGACTATGGGCAGACGAAACAAATCTCCCAGCAGCACCGGCTGCAGCTCGCCGAGCTGATCCTGGCCGTCGGTGACGGCGACGCGAGGAAGATCGGACGGCTGTACAACGAGATGGGCTTCAAGCTGAGCAAAACAGCCGAAGAAAATCCGGAGAGTTTTAAGTGGATGGCTACTCTCATGTTTGACACGCGGTCGGCGAAAGGCGCCACGACATCGAACCCATTTTCGGAGGAGCATGCGGCGCAGAACAACGGCGTGAAAAAGTTTCCGGAGGATTTGTTTTTTGTGGTGAGGTCGATGCAGCTGCTGAGGGGGATCTGCATGGGCATGGGGCTGAATGAGTCGCTTGCGGAGCAGTGGCGGCCGATTGCTCGGCAGGCGATTCGGGAGGCGCAGAGGCAGAGGCAGCGGCAGTGGGGGAGCTGATTAGTAGCGTATCTGCTCTCTGTGATGCAAGTCATGAGGTCGATGCAGGTGCTGAGGGGGATCTGCATGGGCATGGGGCTGAACGAGTCGCTTGCGGAGCAGTGGCGGCCGATTGCACGGCAGGCGATTCGCGAGGCGCAGAGGCAGAGGCAGAGGTAGAGGCAGAGGCAGAGGCAGCAGCAGTAAAGGAAGGTGATTAGTAGCGGTCGAAGCAGCTGCTGAGGGGGATTTGCATGGGCATGGTGTTGAATGAGTCTCTTGCGGAGCAATGGCGGCCGATTGCACGGCAGGCGATTCGGGAGGCGCAGAGGCAGAGGCAGCGGCAGTGAGGGAGGTAATAGTTGCGTATCTGCTCTCTGTGGTGCGTATAATGCAGCTGCAGCTGGTGAAGGGGATATGCTGCATGGGCATAGGGGTGAATGGATCGTTTGAGGAGCAATGGCGGCCAAACACTGAGGCTGAAGCAGAAACAGCAGCAGTATTGGAGAGAGGACCTAATTGGAGAGTACTGTATCCACCCTCTAGCTGTGTTATTGCGAATTATTTTGAAATGTGTGTTTGTAGACACCTGGAGCTCCAAGCATGCTTCAACATGGCCTGTAGTAGCAGAAGGGCCGTGTTGAACAATGCTTGGAGTTCATCTTCTATTGTAGGCTCTTTGTTATGAGTGGAGTTTTATGTTGTTGTAAGGAAAATTCCTTTTCCTTGTTTCGCATCCGTGCTCAACGCATACATCACTGTAGCACCACAGTCAGCACCGTTACCACTCGCAACCCTCGCATCGACAATCCGCCCGCCACCTTTCGCACATCGCACCCCGACCTCACGGCTCGGCAGGTAACCCGCGCTCCGGGCCTCCGCTTCGACACTTTTTCCCAACCTCAGTCCCAGGCCCGTCGCACGACAACCACAGTCCATTACCGTTACCACTGTAGTTTCGCTATATATTCTTCTCTCATGCCTTCGCTCATTGTACTCCTGCTTGGATAGTGCAATTCTAGTTTGTTCACTCAATTGCACTCTTAACAGTTGTGCTGAAATGCACGCTCCATTTCAAGCCCCCTTGCCAGAACAATGCATAGATTTTGTGGGTATGGTTTAGTCACACTGTTACATCTACTTGTCGTCCTTCGTCGTCGTTCTTCGCAACCACCCAATCGAAATAGTAGACGTCGTCGATCGCGTCGTCAACCCCGTGTTCTCGCCACCACCACCAAACCTCTCTGTCCGCGTCGCCATCATGAAGCCGATTCGTCACGTTGCAAGGAAAATAATGAATTCCGAATTTCATCCAATCGCCTCGCATTTGCAAAATTGCGCCCCATTTCGAACACGTTTGGGGACATTTTCAAACATCCTTTTTCCCCCAAGACTCTCTCAGGGCGTATCCCTGGGTGGTGGCAGGGCAACTGTAGCAGTCACTGTTGGTGGCATGCGGGAAAACCGCATGCCATCAACTTTGTGCCCGAACCGCCCGCGGCTCGCAGTTCGTGGCAACCACAACACCTTGTGCGAAAGTCGCACACGGAAAGAACCAACCAATCAAAAGAAGCGTGCGATACCACTCCACATGTTCAACCGGTTACTAAAATCTGAGTTCTTCGACACTTGGCACCGGCAACAGCTATACTTGACGATCACGAAAGGCCTGTAAATTGGCAGGCATGAAGTTGGGTGACCCTTCGGGGAGGGGTTATGCACGTTCGTGTCCCGACCAATGACAGCAGTTGGTGGGCCGGGAATTTTACCGGCATGTGAGAGCTCGAACGTGGTGTGTGCGAGCCCAGTTTGCGAGGGAAATTTGGATATGCGTTGTGGTGATTGGACCGTGTGACCCAACCCAACCAGGCGATCAGTTCGTTCAACCAATCGCCTTGTTGCCTATGCGCGTCAGTTTTCTGCCACCAACCTCCCGTTATAGGTATTCGTGGCATCCGCAAAAACCGCCTGCCATCAACAGTGGTCCTGCCACCACCCAGGGATACGCCCTCACACGCTTGGGACGACACTTTGAACGGTCCCCCACTCGTCACTCCCAAAAGTCACTGTCAAACCTGCAACACGTTTGATTCCTCCTCCCGAGACACGTAGGGCGAAACAGCTTTCCCTTCGCATCCTCGTCCCTTCCAACGTCACTGCATTTCCAACCCCAGCAGCCGCACGAGCAACAGCAGCAGTGCCGCTGCAATTCTTGTCAAAGCACAAATTCCCAGCCCCAATCACTAATAGCATGTGACTGTGGCTTGCGTCAGTATGTGCTTTCCCAGAGCGTCGAGACTAGCATCTAGGATGTGACGGGCCAGTGGGGAATCAATTCGCAGCCTCGTCAATTCCGGGGTGCCTGGGCCTGACCATGGCTTCTTTTCTCGTCTCATCCAGAAGAGCGAGTCTCTTCCGCAGCAAATCACATGCACTTCACGCGTACTTCGATCGACTCGGGAAGTACAGCGCGCCCTGTGAGAGTTCAGAGTAGTACTTGTGAGCATCGCACTTTTAGTGACAGGTATTGACAGATGGAACAGCAGCCGTACGCGGCCTCGTCAATCCCGTCAGTTAGTGGCAGCAAGCAGCACGCGACCTCGTTCACTCCGTCCGTTAGCCTCACTTTTGAGAGTTCTCAAAAGGGATTTCAACATCGCGGCGTTGCCAATCCCGTCAGTTAGTGGCAGCAAGCAGCACGCAACCTCGTTCATTCCGTCCGTTAGCCAGCTATCCTCGGAAATGTCGCCATCCGAACTGCTGCAGCCACTGTCTTGCGTTCGTTATCGTCGAGACTCGAAAACGACGCTATGTACTGATGCTATTGCCAGTCTCACGGATGGGCGGCGCACGCCCCATGTGCAGGGTATTATTTTGCGTAGATTCTCGAAAAAAAAAACAGTGTCTGTTCATCAGCAGGATCCCGTGCGCGGCTCGTGCGATGGCTCTCTCCGCGAAAATACGCTGACTCGACGACGTTCCCTTGGACGACGAAGAAACACCCCTTGCGCAACTCCCTTGTGCGATGACCCCCTCGGCGATGCTCCGACTCGGCGTCGTTCCCTCGGACGATGATGAAACATCGCGTGCGCAGCGCACCTCACGTGTGTGATTCCCTGCATCGCGTTGACTCGCCCCCATCATGATCATCATCCGGCATGCTCCTCTCCGAGAGCAGATTCGAGCCCAAGGCTGAGTCAGCCTGTTTCTGCCCTACTAGAGGCTGTGGTGTAATCGAGAGGGATTTTCGAGTCCATTCTAGAGTGCTGCATCGCGTTGACTCGCTGTCATCATCCTACATGCTCCTCTCCGAGAGCAGATTCGAGCCCAAGACTGAGTCAGCCTTGGGAGATAAACAGCCTTTTCTGTCCTTAGAAGGCTGTGGTGGATCAGAATCGGATTTGACCTTGAGTGTGTAATCGTAAGTGACTTTCGAGTCCATTGTAGAGTGCTGTCGCAGTCGTAAGAGGTTTGAGGCGCCTCAAAAGTCGAGAGCGATTTCCTAGGCCATTTCCGACTGTCGATTCCTATTCCAGAGTGCTGTTTGCTGTCGTAAGAGAGCGCTCGCGGCCCCCCGACTCTCGAGTGCGTGAGTGTGGAGTGTGGGAGTGTGGGAGTTGGCGAGTGCCTGCTTGATAAGGCCCCTTAAAAACAGTATACTGTAATTCGCGCTTCAGCACTTCGGCTCTCGCACTGTGAAAAGCGTGCGTTTGTCGTCAGGCAACTCACCTCTTTGGCTCGCCGCTTGATCGCTACTCGAATCCAGCGGCTATCGTATAGAGCGCTTCAACCCAAGTCTAAATTTACTGGGTCTATCCGCATGGAATCCTCTAGCGGGACTGACGGCGAGGGGCAGTCGCGTTTTAGCACACGGCCGCCGAATCCGCTGTGTCTATTATCGTGTCGCGTGCAGAGGGGCTCCGCGATTGCCGAGGCTCTTCGGAAACCGAATCCGTTGTCGCTGCTGTCGCGCCGCGTGCTGATGGCATCTGCGTCGCTGATGCATTCCCCGCCTTCTCCCTCCAATCCGCCCATTTCGCCTTTCCTCCTGCCCCCTTCGCAACTGCCGCTGTTACCACCGCCTTCGCCAGCTTCACCCGCGTCACCAGCGCCGCCAGCGTCGCCAAAATCGCCGGCGTCGCTTCTGGCATCGCAGCCTTCGCCAAAGACCCCTCAGCGAGGAAATCCGGACCCTACGGAAATCGATTCGGTACAACCAAGGTCGAATTCGATACAGGCAGAAGCGTCTACGACGGCTTTGGATGGTCGAGCCGACTATTATAACGCCAAAACGTTTACGACCGTCGGATGGATTCCTGAAACCCCACGGACGTGGCTGGAGACATGGGCCGATCCTATTGCCTCCTGCTGGAAAGAAGAACGGGTGCAGAAGGAATCGGGAAGAAACGCGGGATGGAAAAAGGATGATTATGGTGAGGAAGTGAGGCAGTTACAAACGAGGATATGTACGGAAGCAGAAAGGGTGAATTCGGCTGTGGGGGAGCGAAGCGAGACACTGAAACGAGGGTTAATGTTGCTGCAGAGAGGGGTGGAGTCACAAAGGGAGTCATTGAAACGAGGGGCGGTGGCGTTACAGCGGGACTTTGAAACACGGAACGAGGCAGTGAAACGAGGGGTGGTGTCGCTGCTATGGGATGTGGAAGATCAAAGTGATGCCCTGAAAAGAGGGCTTGTGTCGCTGCAGCAAAATGGGGAAGCACAGGGCTGGCGTCGCTTCCACGTCTTGTTGCAGCGACGCCAGCAAAATGTGGACGCACAGGGCACTGTGTTAAAAAGAGGGCTGGCGTCGCTGCAACAAGACGTGGACGCGGGGAATGAGGGACTGAAACAAGGGGTAATCTCGTTGCAGCGGGATATGGAGGCGCGAAACGAGGCACTGAAACGAGGGATGGTGGCGTTACAGCGGGATGTAGAGGCACAGAGCAGCGCGCTGAAACAGGGGGTAACCGTGTTACATCGGGATGTGGAGGCGAACATGCTGTCGTTTCAACGAGGGGCGGAGTTCTGGCGACGTGTAGTGCACCTGTACGGCAGTTACAAGGTGCGTTTCATCTTCCGAAGAATTTGAACGACAGGTTTCATTTCTCTTGGGTTGCATGCATCTGTTCATCCTCATTTCCTAGTGCTTTCTACTCCCCTTCCCCTCCCCTCCTTCCTTTCTTTCCTATTCATCTCCCGGACCCCCTGTCCTCCCCTCCCCCGTCCCCTCTCCCCATATTCGCTCTTACTATTCCCCCTATCATCCTATCCTCCCCAGCTTTGTCAGCTCCAGGTGGCAGTGAGTGGCCAATCAGAGGAGGAGAAATCTGCCACGTGGCAGAGGCAGCATGAGAGGGGAGCCGAGATGCTCTATGCTCTCTGCACCGACATGAAAGGATTCTTCCTCAAGGTGTGACTATAGTGAAGGTGTGATTATAGCAAAGGTGTGATAATAGCAAAGGTATGACTGTAGAAATGGAAGTGACCAATAAGGTGGCCATATGAGTAAGCTGAGCGGAGTGCAGAGATCCTCTATGCTCTCTGCACAGACGTGTAAGGATTCTTCCTCAAGGTGTGACGATAGAGAAGGTGTGACTATAGCGAGTGTATGACTGTAGCCATAGAAGTGACCAACAAGGTGACCATATGACTGAACTGAGGGGATCGGAGGTCCTCTATGCCCTCTCCACCGACATGAAAGGATATTTTCTCAAGGTGTGACTATATTGAAGGTGTGCGCATAAGCAAAGGAATGACCAATGAAGTGGAGTGGACTCCGAGGGGTGGCAGAGATGAAGGCCTTATGCATCCATGATAGCGCGTTCTTGAGCCAGCAGAATGAGTGAACCTAGATATTGCTTCGAAAGTGTAGTGTCGGGAGAAAAACGATAGAGATGTGATTATAGTGAAAAATGTGTATTTCTTGGTTCTTATTGGTTTGAGTGCTCCCGAGATCAGCTCTCATAGCTCAGTTGGCTAGAGCACCCGTTTAGTAAGCGGGAGGTCTTGAAATTAACTCTCAATGAGAGCATTTCTTGTTTGATTCTTTGCCATCCTGTTTCGTCATCGTTCTCACACAATTTAGTAATCACAAGTTGACTTAAATCATCTCCTCAAGCTTATATATGCTCCCCTCCTACTGATCCCTCGCTCGCCTTTCACACCAAATCACTTTCCCCTCTCCCTCAAAACACAACACAGGCGGGTCAGTTACTGGCCAAGCCGGGCCTCTCCCCACCAGCGTGGGCGCATCGCCTCTTCTGTCTCTCCCCAATCATGCTCTTTCTTTCCACATATAAGTCGTGTGTGATGAGTGGATTTTTGAGTCGACTCAAAAATCGACTCTCCCCACCAGCGTGGGCGCATCGCCTCTTCTGTCTCTCCCCAATCATGCTCTTTCTTTCCACATATAAGCCGTGTGTGATAAGTGGATTTTTGAGTCGACTCAAAAATCGACTCTCCCCACCAGCGTGGGCACATCGCCTCTTCTGTCTCTCCCCAATCATACTCTTTCTTTCCTCACCCACAATACAGGCGGGTCAGTTTCTAGCCGAGCCAGACCTCTCCCCACCAGCGTGGGTGCGGTGCCTCTTAGCCCTCCACAACGCTGCTCCTTCTTACCCATTCCTTAAATCCCCTCACATTTCACCCCCCACACCCCACTAAACACAGGCGGGTCAGTTCTAAGCCAAGCCAGACATCTCCCCACGAGCGTGGGTGGCACGCCTCCCAGCCCTCCACAGCCCTGCTCCAGCTGAACCTCTCTCTCCCCATCACCCTGCTCCTGCTCACCACTTCCTTCCCCTCCCCCCCTCCCCACCATCCCAGGCGGGTCAGTTTCTAGCCAAGCCAGACCTCTTCCCACCAGCGTGGGTGCGTCGCCTCTCAGCCCTCCACGACGCTGCTCCCGCCGACCCGCTCCCCTTCATGCTGCTGACCATCTAAGAGGGGTTTTGGGGGGTGACCCTACTCACCGTGACCCTACTCCTGCGCTCCCTCCCTTACTCCAATTTCCCTTCCCCTTCTCTTTCCTCTTTCCACTTTCCGCTTCCACTCCCCATCCCCCTCCCTTGCCCCATCCCAGGCGGGTCACGACGCTGCTCCCGCCGACCCGCTCCCCTTCATGCTGCGGACCATCTAAGAGGGGTTTTGGGGGGTGGGGTGGGGAGAGGTGTGGGAGTGGGAGGTGGAGAAACCACTTTGTGTTCTCCCTCGCACCACTACCCTTTCCCTTTCCCAATACAGGCGGGTCAGTTCTTAGCCAAGCCGGACCTCTCCCCACCAGCGTGGGTGCGTCGCCTCTCTGCCCTCCACGACTCTCCTCCGTCTCACCCCTTCCTTCTATCCCCGCATCTCCCACTCCTTCCTCCCACCATCACAGGCGGGTCAGTTCTTAGCCAAGCCAGACCTCTCCCCACCAGCGTGGGTGCGTCGCCTCTCTGCCCTCCACGACGCTGCTCCTGCCGACCCGCTCCCCCTCGTGCTCCAGACGATTCAAGAGGAGCTGGGGGGGATGGGATGGAGGGAGGTGTGGGAGTGGGTGGAGGAGAAACCACTTGGGTCTGCATCGATTGCCCAAGTGCACAGAGGGAGGCTGAGAGGAGGGAAAGAGGTTGCTATCAAGGTAAGGATCTGCATGTGAGGAGGAGTATCACTGTATCACTAGGTGCAGGGCAGACGTGTCAAAATGGGGCAAGGAGGGCTCGAGGGCAGGTGGGGTGTGCAGGGAGGTGTGGGAGTGGGTGGAGGAGAAAACCTATTGGGTCTGCATCGATTGCCCAAGTGTACAGAGGGAGGCTGAAGGGAGGCAAGGAGGTGGCTATCAAGGTAAGGATCTGCATGTGAGGGGGTGTATTACTAGGTGAAACTGCAGTCTGGTCAAAGTGGCAAGGAGGTCTCAAGGGCAGGTGGAGAAACCACTTGGGTCGGCTTCGATTGCTGAAGTGCACAGAGGAAGGCTGAGAGGAGGCAAGGAGATTGCTATCAAGGTAAGAGGATCATCATTATTTTCTGAATACGTTTCTTTTTTCTTCTTCTTCTTCTTTTTTTGTTTTTTTTTTTTTGTTTGAGTGGGTGGGTCGGGGGCCGCGCTTTTTCTGCCTTAGATCCTTCCTGATGAGCACGGAGCACAGACCGTGCCTTGATGAACGCTACCTGGATTTTGCACTGCGGATGCACCCACCCACCCCTTTCTTGTTACACGCTTTGAGACGTCTCAAAACATCTCTCTTTATCACGTAGCACGGAGCACAGACCGTGCCTTGATGAACATTTCCTGGATTTTGCACTCCGCATGCACCCACCCACCCCTTTCTTGTTACACGCTTTCAGGAGCAACACACAGGAGCCGAGCCCCTCATGCTCACAGACCTCGCCAACCTCAAGGCGTTTGCTGCCTTTCTGCAGAGCATGGAGATCAAAGCTCAGAGGTCAGCATTCACGACTGCCTTCACCTCCTCTTCCCCTCCCCTCCACACACCAGGTGCAGCACGCAGGCGCAGAGCCTCTCATGCTCACAGACCTCGCCAACGAAAGCCTCTCCTGCCCTTTCCCCCACCCTCCTCGTTACACGTACTCACTTTCACTTTCAGGTGCAGCACGCAGGCGCAGAGCCTCTCATGCTCACAGACCTCGCCAACCTCAAGGCGTTTGCTGCCTTTCTGCAGAGCACGGAGCTGAACCTGGACATCACGGGAGCCCTGACCGAGCTGAGAGCTCAACGCGGGGGTCTGCCTTCATCTTCCCTCCTTCTCCCCCCTCCCCCCCTCCCCACACCAGGTGCAACACGCGGGTGCAGAGCCTCTCATGCTCACAGACCTCGCCAACCTCAAGGCGTTTGCTGCCTTTCTGCAGAGCACGGAGCTGAATATGGATGTGATGGGCGCTCTGAACGAGCTGGAGAAGCAGGTGGGTGTGGTTTGCCATGTGCTCGCATGTAGGCAGCAAGTTGTATGTATGGGTGGGTGGATACGGTGTGGTTAGAGGGGTTCTTTCCTGCAGAGCACGGAGCTGAATATGGATGTGATGGGAGCTCTCAACGAGCTGGAGAAGCAGGTGGGTGTGGTTGGTACTTGGTAGCATGCTCCCATGTGTGAGCTAGTGTGCGGGTGAGTGGGTGAGTGGGTGAGTGGGTGGGTAGGTGGGAGCATTCGTGCAGAGTACGGAGCTCAATATGACCGTAACAGCAGCTCTGCCTCCTCTCCCTTTCCCTCTGACCATTCATACCTGCAGATCCGGTATGAGTTCGACTTCCGCAGGGAGGCTGCAGCCATGGATACCATCCGAGCCTCGCTGGCAGGTTCGGCAGCATCAAGCACGGGAGCAGCAGCAGCAGCAAACAGGAGGCAAAAAGGGAGGAGTCGCTGGAATCCTTTTTCAAGGCCGGCTGCCACTGCTACTGCTTTCGCTGCTCTTACCGCCCTTGCCGCCACTGCCCCTGCTTCTACCCCTGTGTCTGCTACTGTGGGTGCCATTGGTTCTGCTGCAGCTGCTGCTGCTGCCGCTACGAGTTCTCCCCCTGCTGTTTCTGGTGCAGCCTCCCCGGTGGTGGTGCCTGCATCTGTCCCCGGCCTCGTGACCAAGCGCCTGCTAGTGATGGACTTAATCAAGGGCTCTCCAATCGTGAAGATGGGAGAAGAGATGCGAGCCAAGGGAGTCAACCCTAACGGCTTCCTTGCTACCAGAGCCAAGAGGTGAGTGTGATGGGTCCATAGGGCTGCTAGTTTTACTGCTGCTGTGCCTGCGTCTGTCCCAGGGCTGGTAACTCAGCGACTGCTGGTCATGGATTTGATCAACGGCTCTCCGATCGTCAAGATGGCTTACTTGCTACCAGGGCTAAAAGGTGAGTTGCTGCTGCTGCTGTGCTTGCGTCTGTCCCAGGGCTGGTTACCCAGCGGCTGCTAGTGATGGATCGGATCGGATCAAGGGCTCTCCGCTTGCCAGCATGGAGGAAGAGATGAGAGCCAAAGGAGCCAAACGGAGTCAGCCTGCGTCTGTCCCAGGGCTGGTGACCCAGCGGCTGCTAGTGATGGATCGGATCAAGGGCTCTGCGCTTGTGAAGATGGAGGAAGAGATGCGAGGCAAGGGCGACAACCCCAGAGCGTGTTTTTTGAGAATTCTAAAAAAACACGCTCAGCAAGGGCGACAACCCCAGAGCGTGTTTTTTGAGAATTCTAAAAAAACACGCTCGGCAAGGGCGACAACCCCAGAGCGTGTTTTTTGAGAATTCTAAAAAAACACACTCGGCAAGGGCAACAACCCCAGAGCGTGTTTTTTGAGAATTCTAAAAAAACACGCTCGGCAAGGGCGACAACCCCAGCAGCTACCTTGCTACCCGGGCCAAGAGGTGAGTAGCGGCTGACACTGTGCCTGGGCCTGTCCCCGGGCTGGTGACCCAGCGCCTGCTCATCATGGATCGGATCAAGGGCTCTCCGATTGTGAAGATGGAGGAAGAGATGCGAGCCAAGGGCGTCAACCCCAGCAGCTACCTTGCTACCCAGGCCAAGAGGTGAGTGCCATATGGCCATGTGCCATGTGGCCATGTGCCATGTGCCATGTGCCATGTGCCATGTGCCATATGGCCATGTGCCATGTGCCATGTGCCATATGGCCATGTGCCATGTGCCATGCGCCATATGGCCATGTGCCATGTGCCATGCGTCATGTGCCATGTGCCATGTGCTAGTGATGGATCGGATCAAGGGCTCTCCGCTTGTGATGGCATGGAGGAGCACATGAGAGCCAAGGGCGTCGACCCCAACAGCTTCCTTGCCACCAGAGCCAAGGGGGTGCGAGAAACTAGTTGTTCACCCCTTTACTGCTTCGGCGATGCGCTAGTCCAGGGCCGGTTAGAGTTGAGCGCAATGCGCTGAGCCCGCCCACTCATCCGCACACTGGCGCTGGTAAGTGTTGAGTTGAGGGTGATGATTATTGAGTCGACTAAAAAATCGACTTACTACGCGAGGCGCTTTTAAGTGTTGAGTTGAGGGTGATGCACCGAGCTGGTTTTTGAGAATTCTCAAAAACCAGCTCGTGATGCACCGGATATCTGGTGATTCAAGAGGGGTTCTGGCTGAACTGGCACACCCCTGTGGCGTTCAACGCCTCTGTTCCTGCCTTTGTTCTTTGTTGCTATCTGTCGCAATTCTTAAACAGGTCAATCTTTCGGTCACTCGGGGCAGCTTACGGGCTGATGATCTTGCGGGACGGGCATTTTCAGGCTGACCCCCATCCAGGAAACCTTCTCATCTGGCCAAATAGAAAGGTCAGTCATACAAAATATTTCCACATGCGAATCACTTTCATCAAACCTAGTGCTTGCTACTTCATTCCACATCCCTCATCATTTCCATTTCCCAAACGTATATACAGGTTGCTTTGTTGGACTACGGCCAAACGAAGCGTCTCCCGGACTCTCCGCGTCTAAAACTGGCACGATCAATGCTAGCAGTGGCTGACAAAGACTCATTCTTGCTGTTTCAACCACTGTGGTTCCATTTCCCTTTCATACATACAGGTTGCTTTGTTAGACTACGGCCAGACTAAGCGCCTCCCGGACTCTCTTCGTCTAAACCTGGCGCGATTGATGCTAGCAGTGGCTGATAAAGACATGCCAAGAGTCGGCTCATTGTTTCAGGCCTTGGGAATTCGGACTACCAGGACTGTGTTCGAGGATCCCAAGAGCTTCCACCGCATGTCTTCACTCATGTTTGACACTGCTGTGTCGGAGGGTGTTACGACGTCAAACCCGTTTGCGAGCGAATCTACCCTGAAGAGGAACGGGTTTGAGGTATGTTACATAGCTTGTTTGATCAGTGTTAATTGTGCAACCTTTTTTACCTGTCCACAACAATTCTGTCACGAGAGTTAATTCCACCAAAGAATGCTGTCTGACCTTTTTATTGTCCGACTTGGTTTTTTCTCTGGCAGAAATTTCCAGAGGATCTGTTCTTTGTGGTACGCACCATGCAGTTGCTTAGAGGGTTGGCCATGGGCATGGGGTTGAATGAGTCCCTTGCGGAGCAATGGAGGCCAATTGCACAGCAAGCGCTCAAGGAAGACGGCGGAATGAAAATGTTTACATGAGCTCTGTGCAATTGCTAGGAGAAGTTATGCACAAATCTTCACAAAAACTCTCCTCTGTAGCATTTGTTTGCGAGTATTTGACCCCACCATCTGGTTGATCCCCAGACTTATCACCTCCACCGTCTGCCTGTTCTGTCACGAAGCACTCAATAAAGGAAACGGCAACCCCAAGGCGTCAAATGTAATTTCCAACAGAAATCACAGGAGCACAACGAATGGTTCTCTCACAGCCTAACAACTGCTCTGCTGTGCGTTCGGGCTGACCCGCGCCACTGACGGTCGCCATTTCCTGTCGTTTGTTCCACAGAAGTCATGTCAACTATGACACCTTGTGGTCATGTCAACTATGTACAGTAGCAGAAACCACAGTAAGGCCGATCCTTGCTCTGGTGTGTTTCAGACGGAAAATGATTTCACTCGTGGCTGTCAGCGTTCAGGAATTCCACGGGCAAACGCGATGTGGACTCGTGAGTCGTGACCGCCTCACGTAACGTGTCACATTCAGTCACTTAGGACACGAACGAATGGACGTGAATGGCGGGAAGCGAAGACGGGGAAGTGATTAGTGACGCGAGGATGCAAGCTTGGACGAATTCAACTCGCTGATGGCACCTGACTTTCATCGCTTCTGCAGCGATTAGCGCGAGCTACTAATGTGCAGATTAAAAAAAACCACCGTTGATAATTCGAAATACCGGTAAGTCGACTTGAACAAGCTCCGTCGGCGTGGAATTTCTGGTGGGGGAGCCTTCGTGCCATGAGAATCGGCCGCAAGCAACAAATGGCTCCCTCGCTACAAACGGCTCTCTCACACTTCGTTCCGGGTACCAAGGCATCCAGGAAAATCGCAATATTGCTGCACCCATCGTTCTATTCACAGATCTCGAGTCAAGCACAAGCTCTAGAAGCATTTCAGTTGAAGACTGGTAAGTGCTGCTTGCATTCCTTGTGCTCAACCATAAAGCGCGCTGGATTCCCAGGGGGAGCTGCCCGAGCACTGGAATCCTTTCTGAAACGTATTGAGGCAGCTGTGGTACGGTATGCAAGCACCACAAGGCCTAGCGGCAAGACTGGCAACTTGTGTTGCATACAGTTATCAAGCGGAGAGAAATAGCGGAAACTGGGGCTACTGTGATGCTGTATTGGAACCAACCAGGACCTGCGGGCTTACCCATGCAATTGAGTGCATGTATTCCCTTGCATTCAGGAATTAAGCATGTTATAACATGAAGATAAACACCTACTGCATCAAGAATGCACCAAGCTACAGGGGCACAGCCTGCGCATGTCTGGGTGGCTTCCCTCACAGGACGGCATATTCGGGTCCAGGCTCACTAGACAAGTACGAGGCATGAACTGAGCCTGCGACCTCTGCTGTTGTTGCTGCTGTTGTTGCTGCTGTTGCTCATGCAGATCCACCTGACCCTGCCTGGAATAACCCCTGAGGTCTTGCAGCAACTTCCTCTGCTGCGGATTTTGCCTAGAAGGATTCTCCAACAGGTGTATGTGCTGTAGTGTATCAGAGGCTATATCCAGAGGTGCTTCTACCACCTCTGCTGGCTGCTCTGTTCCCAGAGAGGCGAAGCAGCCAGGCGTGCAGGGGAAGAAATGACGGAGCAGAGGACAGTTGTTGATGCGGGGGAGAAGGTCGGCCTGACACTGCATGGGAGATTTCATGTGCACGGAACATCAAGAATACGGACGTATGTGAGAAGGGAGATGACAGGAAGGTGTCGGTGGGAAACACTGCAGGGGGGGAAAAACTGTCCGACAATGCGTAGGAGACTTTTGTTGGGGACAGAAGCAGGGCAGAGAAACCAGTGAACAATGCACAGGCGAGTTTATTAGGAACCGTGATTTAGGGGGGAGATTGATCAGACAATGCATCGGAGAGAGACATGAGAAAGGCTGCTTAGAAACAAACAGACACGGTGGGGGCAAGTTGGCAGGGAGGTAAGGGCTACGGCAAGGGTGGCATTGAAAAATGGGTGGAGGCAAGGGTGACAGGGAAGACACACATCCTGTCGCCCCTAGGAAGTAACACATTGTCATTACAATGTCCGAGGCAGTACTATGCAGCAAGGATGACAAACTACATGCGAGAAAATGGGAAGCAACACACACTGAGACAACCGATTTACCTTCAAGCCTCGCTCTGCGCACGTGTCATCACAGGACTGGCCAGGATTCCCTATTTTCATCTTCAACTCCACGTCCTCCAGTCCTTGACGGAAACTCCCCTCACCAACAGCACCATCACCACCACCATTAACAGCACCAACAGCAGCACCAGCATCACCAGAAGCACCAGCAGCAGCGGCATCACCACTGCTTCTCCTTGGCTCTTCACTAGCTGCTAGTACACTGTCGCCATCCAAGGCTGAAAGAACGCTCCCCGTTATATCACCCTTCGACCTTTCACCACTGGTACTACCAATGTCTCCATCTCTGAATTTCTTCTTGGCTGCAGCTGCAGCAGCTGCTGCGCTTGCTGCTGCATCAGCCGCTGCTTGCACTTCAACTGGCAGGCCGTAGCAGTGGTGTCTGTCACTTATGTAAGCGTTCTCATGAACCACGCTCTTAGAGTTGTGCCGGCAGCGGTGCCGGCAGAATTCAAAAACTGACAAGAATCGTCCAGCCGACGGTTGAGCTGCAGTGGTGATAATTGTGGCCAATCGAGGCGGAGTACGATCAGGATCTTGACAGCAGGTTACACACTGTTCGTAGACTTCGCAACACCGGTCAGTAACGTTACAAGACTGGCAAGAAAATCTCAACGTTTGATGAACTTTTGCTCCTGACCCGGCGCGTTCACCACGGAAGGATAGATCGGTTCCAGTTCCCGAACTTCTTCCGTCGTCTGATTCTCCATCGCGAGCATACGGACAGCAACCAGTGCTGAAATTTAAGTCAGACCAATTGCACAGGTAGCCCTGGTCATCCGCGATAAGGGTCCGTCCTTCTACAGTGTGTACGCATGCTCTTGAAGGTGTGCTAACGGAAAGCTGATGCAGAGAACGCTGGTATAAAGGCTTCCGGCCGAATCGGAGAGAACCGGACTCGAACTTCGAGGCGGAAACGGAAGTGAAAGGGACGGAGGTGAGTGTGATAGATACGGATGCAATAAGTATCACTAGCCAGAAGTGACGGATGAGACTGAAACGCAAGCACTGACGGAGAAACATATGAGCTGGCTGAATCCTGGAAGTGTAAGGGGACGGCGACGGAGCTCTGAACTATTGCAATGTGGACTGCATGAACACCCTAAAGGGGTCGAAGCAAATAAAGGGGTAGAATAGTCAATATCTCCTATTCTTCTCAGTAGACGCCCTAAAAGAGGAGATTAGATGAGAATTCAACGTAGCAAAGAAACGTGTGCGTCAGTGCTTGATGGTGAAGATCACAGGTGCCGCTAACGGCAAATGGTTGTGTAGGGCTTGAAACACTCGAAATGCCTGAATGGCTCTGACAGCAACTGGAGAGAAGGGGGGAAGGGGGGGATGGGTGTGTTGTGAAATTTAGGCCCTGTTCCCGAAGGTACAATTGCGTAGGTTTTTGCGAACAGGTTGCAAAACTCACTCAACTCAATTTCCAGTGATAGGACTGTTGTGACACGACCTGAACCATGTGGCTCAGAAGATAGGCCCTTGTAAATCATCCCTTGAATAAGTACCTACCGCTTGGAAACGCAAGCGAAAAGGCAGCTTGTGTCCTTTCAGTGGATTTTTCACTCCATTCCCTGCCAGAGAGACATTTTCTGATGTATTCGATCCTCGTGAAGTTGCTATCCCCAATACAGCCTCTATTCTACCGCTTCGCTAAGATTCATTCCGAGAAGCAGGCTGAGACTTCCGCAGACGTAGAAAGAGATGGCAAGAAGCCTGTTGCTAGTTTTCCTCCTACTCGCGACCATTCAGTTGTCACTTCAAGATCAGAAGCTTAGGGATGGAAGTCAGGAGTTTAGCTACGTTTGGACCAAGCTTCAGAAGACTGACAGGCATTGGAACTTTCTGGCTTATTTGCGACTTGCAGGTCCGCTCCTCTCGCGGGCGACTGCACTTCTTCTGTCTGTTTATGTGCTAGCATTATTTCATTTCAAGTCGCACTGTCGTGTACAGGAATAAGATCCTTGTCCAAGCTGCTTTCGACGACCGAGACTGGCATCACAATCCTCGCGCCTGTGGATCAGGGTTTTGCTCAACTGGGCGACTTCAACGCGGTGAGTTGCTTGAAAATCGCAAATCATTTATCTCGCGTTTCTTTCCCGTATTTTGAGGCGAATTTTCCGCCAGACAAGGATAAGAAAGGATCCCGCCTTCTTGACGAAGACACTGCAGCTGCACATCCTTATTCCTAAGGCCACCGCTGCTAAGCTTCAGCAAGACCCTTTGAGTACTGAATACCGTACACTTGCTGGTGTTGCCCTAGTGAAGCGCAACTCAACAATTCCTGGAAAGGTTCAGCTCTTGTTGAAGGGGTCTACAAGTTCTACAACCATTTTGACACTTTCATTGTCCGCAAAAAGTGCCGCTAACGTCCATTCAGTGAGCAATGTGATGCTGCCGTACTAAAGCACACATTCTCAACAAGGCCACTTTTTTGTAGAAAGAAGACTGGCGCTAACAGAAGGGGTTAGGGGGTGATCAGCGTGGACATGACCTGACCAGCATAAGCTATAGCCTAGGGATTGTTGGAGATAGTGAAATAATGTGAGTGACACTATCAATGCAGACTCCTAACAGAATAGACTGCCCTGCCTGACAAGCTAGTATGTTACAGTAAACAGGATGAACAGGAACTGGTAGTGGCTATCTCTACACCATACACACCATCAATTGAAAACCCCAGCAGGAGGGATTATAACTTTGTCAATCCCATGGCAAGCAAACCGAAGGAAGGTGTCTTGTCCACCAATGTCACCTGAAATGATGTGTCCTGTACCCGCAGTGACATACCCGACGGGACTCACCTTCACCACCCGGTTCACAAAATTTGGAAGAACATGGATGTACATTCCAAGTACTGTACGGAACGACCGTAAGAACTTTAAATAAGTTGGGTTAGAAAGATAGACGATCCCCCACTTTTCCATGATCATATGGTACTGCAAGAGCTGCACCAGCTTCTTGCCCGATAACTGAGAGCGGATTTTGGCTGGAAGCGCGGAGAACGCTTCGTCGCGAGGCATCAGAAAGGTGAGTGGCTGCCGGTCCGCGTATCTGCCAATGAACGTATCCAAATCTGGGAGGAGGGAGACGAGCGGTGAGAAAAGGGATGCAAAAGAGGTGGGAGAGATGTTGGAACGGGGGCGAGGGGAAGGGAGAGGGGACAAATGGCGAGGGGGATTATTGACGCAGAACGAGAGGAGGAAAGGGATGGGAAGGGAAAAGAACGACGGATGGAGGGAAGTCGCGAAATAAGCACGGATGCTTACTTGTTTTCTTCATATGAATCAGAAAAACGTTAAATTTACGAGCTTTTTGAATGGCCCTGTTCGCGCCGTTCAGCTCTCTTCTTCCCGGCGCGATCTTGGCACGCGGCGCAGCCGTAACATCGCAAGCTAGACAAACAACGAGAAGGACGGTGCTGACGACGCACTTTGGAACTGCTCGTGAGGTCGACCTCATTCCGTGTCCGAAACTCTAGGCGAGAAACCTAGGGGTGTCCTGTTCCTGTACGCAGTTCGCAACGCACGCGTTTGTGAGGAATGAAAAGCGGAGCAGTGCGAAGCATCGCAAGCGTTGCACTCTCCTAAACTCGGTATACTGAGCAAGCGATTCGCGATACGTACACAAGCATATTTTCTCACACCCTCCTATTCAGGCTAGTTCCATCCACTGTGGGCTGGATTGGCGATCCCTTCCCATGACCTCACCTCGGAACAGCAGGAAAGGTGAGGCTGTTTCGTCGGCTTGTTTTGTATCCGCCATTCCCATGACCCCACCTCGCCTGCTTGGTTATCCCCAAGCCCACAACACACCATCACCCACTATCACCCGTCACCACCCTTCATCACCCACCACAAACGCCCATCACCAACCACCACCACCACCACCACCGCGACCCCCCCTTCAGTTTTCTCCCTCCCAACATGGCAGTAGATTTGTGCGAAGTCATCCCCTGCAAACCAATAAATTCTGTTGGACGCGCACGGCTGGTGTTTCCCCCTCGATGTAAATTGGGGTGACTGGCTCGTTGTCCCCTGGTCTCTGGTTGGTGGTGGTACAGTTTATCCGTGGGAAGGAGACCTTGAATTGCTCAACGCAAGTCAACGCGATTAAATTTTGGTTCGAAGGGGATGCGGAGGTTCGCGACAAGACAGCTATGATCCTGTGTAGGAACTACAACATGGTACATGTATGTTGTGCGTTGTCGCATAAAATGCAAGATAACTCGTGCCAACTACGGCAGCATGCACTCTGATTCCCAAGTGAAAAGTGAGGAAATCCCTGTTGGGACACCACTGGCAAGGAGAGAAGAGTTCAACCAAGTTGTTGAGCCTGAGATGACCAGCGTTTGCCGGATACATAGTAATGAACTGAGTGCGACCACGGAGACAAAAAAACTGCAACAATCCAGATCATTAGCAATGACTGCCATTGAGTTGTACAAATTCTAACTACCGGTAGTACTGTATGTTACAGTCAACAGGTTGTGCAACATAAAATAACATTACTACTATTTACCACGCAAAACTGGCGAATCTATCCATCCCTCGACTAGAAAACCCCAGGAGGGATAATAACTTTGTCAACCCCATGGCACGCAAACCTAAGGAAGGTATTCATTCCACCAATATCACCAGAAATGACACTTGCTGTATTCGCAGTGGCATACCTGACGGAACTTATCCTCACGACCCTGTTCACGTCATTTGGAAGTACAAAAATGTACGTTCCAAGTACGGTGCGAAAGGCGCGCAAAAACCTTTGATTTCTTGGAGCTGAAAGGAACGTGATCCCCCACTTTTCCATGATCATATGGTACTGTATCACCTGCACCAGCTTCTTTCCCGATAACTGCTGGCGGATGTTGGCTGGAAGTGCAGAGAACGCTTCGTCCCGAGGCATCAGAAAGGTTAGTGGCTGCCGGTCCGCGTATCTGCCAATGAACGTATCCAAATCTGGGAGGAGGGAGAGCGGGGGTGAGAGAAGGGGAAGCATGGGTGGTGGTGGTGGGGTGTTGGGGGGAAGGAGAGTGTGGGGGGGGGGGGGAGAGATGATGAAAGGAGAGCGAGTGGAAGGGAGAGGGGGCAAATGGCGACGGAAAAACATGATGGAGAAACAGAGGAGGGAAGGAGGGGGGAGGGGGGGTTGAGGGAGGGGGAGCGGGAGAGGGAAGATGGATGGACGTAAGTAGGGAAACAAGCAAGGAATGCTTACTTGTTTTCTTCATATGTATAAGAAAAACGTTGAATCTCCGAGCTTTCTGAATGGCCTTGTTCGCGCCATTCAGCTCTCTTCTTCCCGGCGCGATCTTGGGTGGCTTCGCAGCCGTGGCTTCGCAAGCTAAAAAAATAACCAGGAGGACGATGCTGACGACGGACTTTCGACCTGCTCCTAAGTGCGTCCTCATCCCGTGTGTGGAACCTGGTATCTAGGTGTCCTGTTCTTGTATGCAGTTCGCAGTGCAGTCTTCGCGTTCGTGAAATATGAAAAGCTAACTAGTGAACAACCGAGCATCCGTCGCGTTGTGATTCCCTGTCGGATTTGGTAGCAGAGCAGACACTAATATTGTCGGAATAAAAAATATATACACGCTTACTCCTTCCTCAAACCCTAATATATCCTGCTCATACGTCCTAACGCTGGGCTTGTTTTAAAATTCAGAAGTTTGGACTAAACAGTCACCTCACCTGAATTTCTCTTCAAACCTCCTACTCTGAAGTCCCCCGCCACACCACCACCACCTACCATCACCCACCAACATTCCCCTTCACCCATCACCACTGAGCACCACCACCGCATCCCCTTCCCTTCCCCCCTCCAACACAGTCAAGTCGATGATGTGGAGAACAGCCTCCTCCACACCGACAAATTTTCTGTTTGAAGCACACAGCTGGCGTTTCCCCTCACCACAAAACGACGTGGCTACTCGTTAGTTGGTGGCATTGTCGAGAACTGTACATTTCCATCCGTCGGCTGGTGAAACGGGTGGTGGGCTGTTATTGCACCTGAAAAAGTCTGGTATACGTGCGGGTCTCCCATCCTGACCAGTGTGACACGGTCAGGAGCTTGGAAAAGAAATGGCACATTTCCCCGTTGCAGTGCATTTTTGTGCAGGCGTGAATTAGCAAAATGTATCAGCACCGATGACGCAAAGTAAATGTAAACTGTGAGCACCCAAACAATCAAGGTTTCTCGGATGCAGAGCAGTTACTTACACAATCACAAAGCCACCTCCCCCGACAACAAGATGTGAACTAAACACCGACAGGCATCAGCTCAGGAAAAGCTCGGGTTGAAAGAGTGCGGCCGTAACGACATGCCCACACATAGTCGGTCAGGTCAGGTCAGGTCACCCCCCCAACCCAATCCACCCCCAACTCATATCCAACAAAGCACACGCGCGTATGACCAGCAACAGTTCATGCGGTCGCTGTATGAAGTGCAGCATTCCGGTGTAGTCAGTTTGAGAAGTTTCGGGAGGGAGGAGAGAGCAGCAAGTTGTCGGAAGGGTTCTCCTGCCACTTCGGTCTGTTGGTAGGTGTAGTCTGTGCGAACAAGCGTGCCACTTGGCCTATGGCTGCTGGGCATTAGGACGTGTCTCGGTTCGCCTCTGGTCGGCTGTGATCCGGTCGAGGCTGATCTGATCGGGTTGCCTCTGTTTGAATAGCTCGCACCGCCCGATCAGACAAGAATTTCCTCGAAATTTTTACGAGGGTACGTGGCAAACGTCCGAACCTTTCCTGCTACTTTCGGGCACACTTTGGCGACTGCGAACTCCTCGGCATGGATATAGCGAGTTTATTGTTTCCCTATTTTGCGAAATCAGATGCCCAGAAATGCTGCAGTTCCAGATTCGCGACGGCGGGGTATTCAAGACGAATTCACGAGTCAATGTCGAACAATGTAACATTTCGTCAGATTCGCTTAGTACCCCAAACAAATGCAATCAAGTGATCGTCGGTGATTGTGTTGGATTGTGTTTGATTGGGCTGTTTTAGGCGGTTGATCGTGTTGGGGCGATCAGCTGATCGCGATCAGGTGATCGCCTCCGATTGCCTGAAATCGCTTTCTTATTTTCCTGGAAGTTATTGATCGCGTCTGATCGAGGCAATCAAAAGCGAACTAAGACACGTCCTTACTGTACAGCACACGCGATGGCACCCATATTTTCAGTAGAATGGGCTTCGATATCTTTGTAGGACTGTTTAACAGCAATAGTTTTGAGTTCTATAATATTTCTTGACCTTGGTGCTACTTGCTTGCCGTCGGTTTAGGGTAATATCACGAATTTATGTAGCCTTCATGTACCTTAATATATCGATTCAGAAGTTTTCTTAATTATGTATTTCACACCACACATTATTGTAACTTATAGCACTGTATGAGGGTTGACAGAATCAGTTAGCCTTTTGCCTCTGGAACCACGCTAGAACCAGGCCTGTCGCTTGCTCTAAACCCAACCCTTACGAAGTTGAGCTGGCCCAAAACCAGCCTGGAAGCATCCGGGTAGGGGCTGATTTTGGCCCGTAAGAATCAGGGCTGGCCAGTAAGAATCAGGGCTGACTTCAGGCCTAGTGTATTTGCAGCCAGCAACATACATGCTTACAAGAACTATGAAGTTTCAACTAAATGTGTTTGAGGCGGATTTGCGGATAAGGGGCCAAGAAACTCCAAGGGGAAGCTAGTGAAGGAGAAGAGGGGGAGGGGGGGGGGGGGGGGGGGGGGTTGGAGAAGGGGGGGGACATACACGGAAATCCGGGCAAGGCCCAAAACCAGTCCGTTAGGGTCCGGCCAAGGGCAAAACCAGTCCGTTTTCCTTACGGGCTTCCTCGCGAACTAACCCTTAAAATCTCTGAGGTGCGTCAAACCCAGCCCTGAATTCTCAGGACAAACGGGAAAATGCCCGTGAATCGACAGGCCTGGCTAGAACGTATGAAAAAACAAAGCACCAAACTGTAACGCCCGATCACGTCCGCGAAACATGAAAGCATCCAAAGTCCAGCCGAGAACCTGAGGCGCATTCGGTACCCTTCCTTATGAATCAAATTCCTCAGCCGAGTTTCTAAACACAGCACATTTCTTGAAACAAGCAGACAAAGGAAAACACTTCTGGAGGAACTCCTGTATGTGGGAGTTTGAGTTCGGAATTCCCGAGGACGCCGAACGTACCTGAGATTGGGACGACCTTGGGAGGTATGTGTCAAGATTGCTAGGCACTGAGGGCGGGTCCAGCGCGTACGTTTACAGGTCCTATACAGTTCATTCGTAGTGGTTTGGAAAGATATCAAACGGCGCACAACGGTTCCAAAATTGCACCGTTTTGAATCGTGGAGAAATACAGATTACCGCACTGGATGAACTGTAATGTACGGAAAACGTACGCGCTGGACCCGCCCTGACAATCCCTTTTCGTGAATGCCCCTCCATGCCAAACAAAGCGCGAATCCCAAGAAGAGACGATCCCAAGTACGAAAATCCCAATGCAACGCGCTTTTGGAGGGAAGAGTGGGAGGAAGGAAAGGAGCACCAGTATTGAATGGTGAGCAAAACGTAGGCTCGGAGAAACCTAGAAAGGATAAGGATGCCTAGAATCCTTCGGAGAAACCTAGAATGCCTGAAGAAACCTAGGATTCTCGGGAAAGCTAGAATGCTCGTGGAACTTCGAAGTTTATACAAGTAGGTCGTTTCGCCGAAGTAGTTAGAGCTGGCGGGCAATGGCGAAGGACGATGTGGCTTTGGAAGTGGAACTCGGGCAGCTTCGAATAAAAAACTCTGACCTTCGTTGCAAGGTCGACCGCCTACAGACCGAGTTACGAACCGCGAAAGACCTCGCAGCGGCAGTCACGGCGGAGCTCGATGCGTGGAAGAAGCAGAGCATTTCCCGCGCGGAGGCGGAAAACCTGCGCGCGGAGGCGGAAAAATGGAAAGCGCGCGCGGAAGCTTCCGCGCGGGGTTCTCCGGGGCCCCGGGGAAGTGGCGGCGCGGGAAAAGAGCTGGAAGAAAAAATAACGGCTTTAGAAGTGGAGTTAGGAAAGTATAAGTTCAAAAACATGGACCTTCAGAATAAAGTCGAAAAACTCTCTAAGGAGATTACGAAGCGACCGTCTGCTGGCGACGCGGGAAAGTTGTCACCAGGCTCGAAGGGGGGAAACGCGCAGGCGACGACGGGAAACGCGGAAGAATCGGCGGGTTTGACGGGGAAGGCTCTTTATCTGAGTCGCCTCAGGAGCGGAGCGCTGTCCTCGTCCCGAGGTTCCGCCGCAACAGGCGCTCCTAGCGGGAAAGGCGCTTCTAGCGGGAAAGGCGCCTCCTTTAGCGTGGCAGGCGCTCGTAGCGGGACAGCCGCGCATAGCTGGACGGCCGCTCATAGCGGGATAGGTGCTAATAACGGAACAGGCGCTCATAGCGCGTCCATGGGCGGAAGGGGGATTGGCGGCGGGTCTGGCTGGCGTGCGCGGGGTAAGGCGGAGTCGGACGGCGCTTTGGCTGGGGAGGGGGAGGAGAGGCGGAAAGATGGGGAGGAGGAGCGGCGGAAGGAGGAGGCGGAGGTGACGCAGCGAGTAGAGGAGGAGGAGGAGAATGGACGGCTGAGATCTTCCCTCGAGGAGCCAGAGAAAGGCAAGGCTCTTAAAGAAATATCTCGGGAGTCGCCGAAGGCAGAGGCCTGTATGGAAGAAGCGAATGGAGCTTCAAAAGAAGAATCGGTGAAGGAAGAAATGAAAGCAGAATCGAAGGGAGATTGCAAGGAAGTATTGAATACTCAGACGAGTACAGGCGTTTCTCAGGATGAGAAGGACAACTATGAGGAGTACAAAGGGTCATCTCTTAAGGGGGATGAGGAGTTTCGGACAGGCGTCGAGTCTGCTAATGCTGTACAATCTGTTAATGGCGAGTCTTCTAACGGGGCTGAGTTCACTAACGGAGTTGAGTCTACTAACGGGACTGAGTTCACTAACGGGGTTGAGTCTACTAACGGGGCAGCTAACGGGGGTGAGAATACTAACGGGGTTGAGTCTATTAACGGGGATGAGCCTGCTGACGGGGTGAATTTAAGGATGGAGTGTACAGATGAAATAGCAGCAGCGAAGCACGATAGTCCTGAAAAAGGAGAGCAGCAGGGGGGGCAACAACGGGAGCAACAGCAGGAAGTGACGCAGAAAGGAGAGCTGAAAGAGAAACGGCAAGAGGAGCAGCAGCAAGCAGAGCTTACTGAAGAGAAGGAAAAGGCAAGAAAATGGGATACTGGAGAGGGGAGTTTGGCATCGAGAGGGGCAAAGGAAGGAGGGGAGGTGGGAGAGTGTGGGGAAGGAGGTGGGGAGGCGGGGAAAGGGAACTTGTCAAGTACCAAGGAAGTGAGGGCGGAAGATAAGGGGGCAGTTAAAGGGGGGCAAGGGGAAGAGCATGAGGACGGGACAAGAGCTTGCATCGAGTCAAGAGCTTGTAGCGAATCAGCATTATTTATTGAGATAGATTGTAAGGAGGATGGGGCGCAGAGTCGGGTAGAAGAAGGTGCGAATAAGGGAAAGCAGCAAACGGAGCAGCTAGAACGAGTGGCGTCATCACTAACTGGAGCAGTTCATAACGAGGATAAGTTACTGATGGGCCAATTGTCAAGCTCCTCGTTTGGGTCATCCTTTGGATCTGAACCTCCCAGCCCATCCTCCTTCATTTCCAAGCCTCTCTTTAAGAAACTGCCTCCTGCTATAGCGAGTACAGAAGGGCGGGCCCAGCGATTGAATGTACACACCGCTGAGGAAATTGAGCCTTCTCCTAAGGGGACTCCGAGGCAGCTTGTAAGGGGTACAGGAGCAGCAGAGGAAGGGGGGGTGAGAGGGGAGGAGGCTCGAGGGCTAATCCGGGGTGGGTGGTTGGAGCTAGGGAGAAGGCGAGAGGAGGCGGAGAGAGGACTGCGAGAAGCCTTGAGGGCGAGAGAAGAGGCAGAGAGAGGGAAGCAGGGAGCAGAGAGGAAACGGAAGGAAGCAGAAGAGAGAATGGTTAGGGCTTTACTGGAACGGGATGAAGCAGAGAGAAGGAGAGAGGAAGCTGAAGGGAGGTTGGGGGAAGTGGAAGGGTTGTGGAGGGAGAGTGAGAAGGGGAGAGAGATGGAGGGGAGGAGGAGGGAGGAGGTTGAAAGGGAGTTGGAGGAGGAGAGGAGGAGGAGGGAGGAGGCGGAGAAGGGGAGGGAGGAGGCAGAGAGGAGGAAGGGTGAGGGTGAGGAGGAGAGGGAAGAGGCTGTGAGGAGGGCGAGGGATGTGGAGAAAGAGGGGGAGAGAGTGAGGGAGGAGGTGGAGAGAGAAAGGGGAGAAATGGAAGGGAGGTTGGTAACAGCAAGTAAAGCAGTGAGGGAAGCTGAGGCGAAGAGAGACGAAGCTGTAAAGGCAATGGAGGAGGCTCATAACGGGGAAAAAGCAGCCCTTGAGTTGAGAGACCAGGCGGTATATGAGAGGGAGGAGATGGCGAGGGAAAGGGATGAGGCCGAAAGGAGGAGGGTGGAGGAGGAATCGAGGAGGAGGATTGCAGAGGAGGAGTGTGAGGAGGCGAAGAGGAGGAGAGAGGTTGCTGAGAGTGCGATAGAAGAGGCGGTAGGAGCAGCAGAGGGAGCAGAGAGAGGGAGGAAGGAAGCGGAGAGGTTGAGAGAGGTTGCAGTGAGAGAGAAGGTTGAAGCTGAGAGGGTAATGGAAGGGGCTTTAAGGGAGAGGGATATGGCATTACTGAAGGTGGAAGAAGCTGCTAAGAAGGTTCTGGATGCTGAACGGATGAGGATTGAGGCTAAGCGAGTGTGGGAAGATTCGGATAAGATTCGGGCAGAAGCGGAAACTGCGCAGGCTGAGGCTGAGAAAGCTCGGGCAGCTGCGGAGAAGTTTAAGGCGGAGTCGGAGCTGGTTCGGGCAGCTGCGGAAATGGCTAGGGTGGAAGCTGAGGCGATGAAACGTGAGGTGGAAGTATTGCGGGCAGAAACGGCGGCGGCTCTGGCTGCCCGGGAAGAGGAACGGGCAAAGAAGATTGGACTGGAGGGGAAAATAGAATCTTTAATGCTGACCGTGGAAGCGCACCAACGGGCAGGGGGGGGTAGGTTAAGTGAAGGGGAGGAAGGGGAGAGAGTGAGGGAGGCAAGGAAGCGAATGGAGGAAGCAGAGAACGTGGCACATGACTTGAGAGTGTGGGGGAGGCAACTTCAAGCTGAGTTGATTAAAGGGGAGGAGGAGAGAAGGGGCCTAGAAGAAAGGTGTAGGAAGGTTGAAGGGAGGGTAAGGGATGTGCAGAGAGTGAGGGAGGAGGCGGATAGCGGGAGGGAGAGGGCGGAGAGGGAAAGGGACGAGGTGATTGGGAGGATGAAGGAGGTGCAAGGAGAAGTGTTGAGGCTGAGAAGGGAGGTGAAACGGCTGATGGGAGAGGAGGTGGGAGAGGAGAAAGAGGAGGAGGAGGGAAAGGGAGGTAATGATGAATCGAGACTTGAAACTGCTTTGGTTGCAGACTCTCCTGTATCGAAGGGAAACTCAAAGGGGACAGTAGGTGAGGGGCACACTGCAGGGGAGAGAATGACAGACGGGTGCACTGAAAGGGTTAGAGAGGGTCAGAAGCAACCTATAGGGTTGAGCTCGATCGAAGTGAGTAGCAGCGAACGGGACGGGCCGAAGCAGAAGGAGCAGGAGCGGCAGCAGGGGCAGCAGGAGGAGAAGGAGCAGGGGCAGGGAACAAACAAGGAGATGAGTGAAGGGGAGGAGGACGAGCAGGTGAAGGAGGTTCTGACAGTGTATGAAGGCCACCATGAACAGCGCGAGGGAGAGAATCGAGAAACTGAAGCTGAGGGGCAGCTGTTGCAGCTGCGTGGGTTGATGGCAGCAGGAGGAAGGGAGGGGGAGGAGAGGTATGGAGAGGAGGCGGAGAGGGTTATACAGGAACTGGAGAATGCTCTTAGCGAGTCAGAGAGGAGGAGAGTGAGTGCTGAGCATGAGAGGGATGTTGCTGCAAGGGAGAGGGATGTAGCAGAGAGGGAAAGGGACGTAGCAGAGAGGCGGCTGGTTGAGAGGGAGAGGGAGAGGGAAGAAAGAGAGGGGGAGAGGGAGGAAAGAGAGAGGGAGAGGAAAGAACAAGAGAGGGAGAGAGAGGAGACGCGGTTACAGGCGGAGAAGTGCAGAGAGGAGGCTGCAAGGGAGACGGCAGAAGCAGAGAAGAGAAGAGACAAAGCAGAGAGGGCGTGGAGTGAGGCTGAGCAGAAGAGAGAGAAGGCTGAGGCAGCGAAATGCGAGGCGGAGAAAGAGAGGGAGGAAGCGGAGAAGGCAAGGAGTGAGGCTGAGCAGAAGAGAGAGGAGGCTGAGAAAGCGAAATGCGAGGCGGAGAAAGAGAGGGAGGAAGCGGAGAAGGCAAGGAGTGAGGCTGAGCAGAGGAGAGAGGAGGCTGAGGCAGCGAAATGCGAGGCGGAGAAAGAGAGGGAGGAAGCGGAGAAGGCAAGGAGTGAGGCTGAGCAGAAGAGGGAGGAAGCGGAGAAGGCAAGGAGTGAGGCTGAGCAGAAGAGAGAGGAGGCTGAGGCAGCGAAATGTGAGGCGGAGAAAGAGAGGGAGGAAGCGGAGAAGGCAAGGAGTGAAAGTGAGCAAGCTAAATGCGAGGCGGAGAAAGGGAGGGAGGAAGCGGAGAAGGCAAGGAGTGAAGCTGAGAATAAGAGAGAGGAGGCTGAGGCAGCGAAATGCGAGGCGGAGAAAGAGAGGGAGGAAGCGGAGAAGGCAAGGAGTGAGGCTGAGCAGAAGAGAGAGGAGGCTGAGAAAGCGAAATGCGAGGCGGAGAAAGAGAGGGAGGAAGCGGAGAAGGCAAGGAGTGAGGCTGAGCAGAGGAGAGAGGAGGCTGAGGCAGCGAAATGCGAGGCGGAGAAAGAGAGGGAGGAAGCGGAGAAGGCAAGGAGTGAGGCTGAGCAGAAGAGGGAGGAAGCGGAGAAGGCAAGGAGTGAGGCTGAGCAGAAGAGAGAGGAGGCTGAGGCAGCGAAATGTGAGGCGGAGAAAGAGAGGGAGGAAGCGGAGAAGGCAAGGAGTGAAAGTGAGCAAGCTAAATGCGAGGCGGAGAAAGGGAGGGAGGAAGCGGAGAAGGCAAGGAGTGAAGCTGAGAATAAGAGAGAGGAGGCTGAGGCAGCGAAATGCGAGGCGGAGAAAGAGAGGGAGGAAGCGGAGAAGGCAAGGAGTGAGGCTGAGCAAGCTAAATGCGAGGCGGAGAAAGGGAGGGAGGAATCGGAGAAGGCAAGGAGTGAGGCTGAGCAGAAGAGAGAGGAGGCTGAGGCAGCGAAATGCAAGGCGGAGAAAGAGAGGGAGGAAGCGGAGCAGGCAAGGAGTGAGGCTGAGCAGAAGAGAGAGGAGGCTGAGGCAGCGAAATGCGAGGCGGAGAAAGAGAGGGAGGAAGCGGAGAAGGCAAGGAGTGAGGCTGAAGCTGCTAAATGCGAGGCGGAGAAAGAGAGGGAGGACGCGGAGAAGGCAAGGAGTGAGGCTGAGCAGAAGAGAGAGGAGGCTGAGGCAGCGAAATGCGAGGCGGAGAAAAAGAGGGAGGAAGCACAGAAGGCAAGGAGCGAGGCTGAGCGGAATAGAGAGGAGGCTGAGGCAGCGAAATGCGAGGCGGAGAAAGAAAGGGAGGAAGCGGAGAAGGCAAGGAGTGAGGCTGAGCAGAAGAGAGAGGAGGCTGAGGCAGCGAAATGCGAGTCGGAGAAAGAGAGGGAGGAAGCGGAGAAGGCAAGGAGTGAGGCTGAGCAGAAGAGAGAGGAGGCTGAGGCAGCGAAATGCGAGTCGGAGAAAGAGAGGGAGGAAGCGGAAAAGGCAAGGAGTGAGGCTGATCAGAAGAAAGAGGAGGCTGAGGCAGCGAAATGCGAGGCGGAGAAAGAGAGGGAGGAAGCGGAGAAGGCAAGGAGTGAAGCTGAGCAGAAGAGAGAGAAGGCTGAGGCAGCGAAATGTGAAGCGGAGAAAGAGAGGGAGGAAGCGGAGAAGGCAAGGAGTGAGGCTGAGCAGAAGAGAGAGGAGGCTGAGGCAGCGAAATGCGAGGCGGAGAAAGAGAGGGAGGAAGCGGAGAAGGCAAGGAGTGAGGCTGAGCAAAAGAGAGAGGAGGCTGAGGCAGCAAAATGCGAGGCGGAGAAAGAGAGGGACGAAATGGAGAAGGCAAGGAGTGAGGCTGAGCAGAAGAGAGAGGAGGCTGAGGCAGCGAAATGCGAGGCGGAGAAAGAGAGGGAGGAAGCGGAGAAGGCAAGGAGTGAGGCTGAGCAGAAGAGAGAGGAGGCTGAGGCAGCGAAATGCGAGGCGGAGAAAGAAAGGGAGGAAGCGGAGAAGGCAAGGAGTGAGGCTGAGCAGAAGAGAGAGGAGGCTGAGGCAGCGAAATGCGAGGCGGACAAAGAGAGGGAGGAAGCGGAGAAGGCAAGGAGTGAGGCTGAAGCTGCTAAATGCGAGGCGGAGAAAGAGAGGGAGGACGCGGAGAAGGCAAGGAGTGAGGCTGAGCAGAAGAGAGAGGAGGCTGAGGCAGCGAAATGCAAGGCGGAGAAAGAGAGGGAGGAAGCGGAGAAGGCAAGGAGTGAGGCTGAGCAGAAGAGAGAGGAGGCTGAGGCAGCGAAATGCGAGGCGGAGAAAGAGAGGGAGGAAGCGGAGAAGGCAAGGAGTGAGGCTGAAGCTGCTAAATGCGAGGCGGAGAAAGGGAGGGAGGAATCGGAGAAGGCAAGGAGTGAGGCTGAGCAGAAGAGAGAGGAGGCTGAGGCAGCGAAATGCAAGGGGGAGAAAGAGAGGGAGGAAGCGGAGCAGGCAAGGAGTGAGGCTGAGCAGAAGAGAGAGGAGGCTGAGGCAGCGAAATGCGAGGCGGAGAAAGAGAGGGAGGAAGCGGAGAAGGCAAGGAGTGAGGCTGAAGCTGCTAAATGCGAGGCGGAGAAAGAGAGGGAGGACGCGGAGAAGGCAAGGAGTGAGGCTGAGCAGAAGAGAGAGGAGGCTGAGGCAGCGAAATGCAAGGCGGAGAAAGAGAGGGAGGAAGCGGAGAAGGCAAGGAGTGAGGCTGAGCAGAAGAGAGAGGAGGCTGAGGCAGCGAAATGCGAGGCGGAGAAAGAGAGGGAGGAAGCGGAGAAGGCAAGGAGTGAGGCTGAAGCTGCTAAATGCGAGGCGGAGAAAGAGAGGGAGGACGCGGAGAAGGCAAGGAGTGAGGCTGAGCAGAAGAGAGAGGAGGCTGAGGCAGCGAAATGCGAGGCGGAGAAAAAGAGGGAGGAAGCGCAGAAGGCAAGGAGCGAGGCTGAGCGGAATAGAGAGGAGGCTGAGGCAGCGAAATGCGAGTCGGAGAAAGAGAGGGAGGAAGCGGAGAAGGCAAGGAGTGAGGCTGAGCAGAAGAGAGAGGAGGCTGAGACAGCGAAATGCGAGGCGGAGAAAGAGAGGGAGGAAGCGGAGAAGGCAAGGAGTGAGGCTGAGCAGAAGAGAGAGGAGGCTGAGGCAGCGAAATGCGCGGCGGAGAAAGAGAGAGAGGAAGCGGAGAAGGCAAGGAGTGAGGCTGAGCAGAAGAGAGAGGAGGCTGAGGCAGCGAAATTCGAGGCAGAGAAAGAGAGGGAGGAAGCGGAGAAGGCAAGGAGTGAGGCTGAACAGAAGAGAGAGGAGGCTGAGGCAGCGAAATGCGAGGTGGAGAAAGAGAGGGAGGAAGCGGAGAAGGCAAGGAGTGAGGCTGAGCAGAAGAGAGAGGAGGCTGAGGCAGCGAAATGCAAGGCGGAGAAAGAGAGGGAGGAAGCGGAGCAGGCAAGGAGTGAGGCTGAAGCTGCGAAATGCGAGTCGGAGAAAGAGAGGGAGGACGCGGAGAAGGCAAGGAGTGAGGCTGAGCAAAAGAGAGAGGAGGCTGAGGCAGCGAAATTCGAGGCAGAGAAAGAGAGGGAGGAAGCGGAGAAGGCAAGGAGTGAGGCTGAACAGAAGAGAGAGGAGGCTGAGGCAGCGAAATGCGAGGCGGAGAAAGAGAGGGAGGAAGCGGAGAAGGCAAGGAGCGAGGCTGAGCAGAATAGAGAGGAGGCTGAGGCAGCGAAATGCAAGGCGGAGAAAGAGAGGGAGGAAGCGGAGCAGGCAAGGAGTGAGGCTGAACAGAAGAGAGAGGAGGCTGAGGCAGCGAAATGCGAGGCGGAGAAAGAGAGGGAGGAAGCAGAGAAGGCAAGGAGCGAGGCTGAGCAGAATAGAGAGGAGGCTGAGGCAGCGAAATGCAAGGCGGAGAAAGAGAGGGAGGAAGCGGAGCAGGCAAGGAGTGAGGCTGAGCAGAAGAGAGAGGAGGCTGAGGCAGCGAAATGCGAGGCGGAGAAAGAGAGGGAGGAAGCGGAGAAGGCAAGGAGTGAGGCTGAGCAGAAGAGAGAGGAGGCTGAGGCAGCGAAATGCAAGGCGGAGAAAGAGAGGGAGGAAGCGGAGCAGGCAAGGAGTGAGGCTGAGCAGAAGAGAGAGGAGGCTGAGGCAGCGAAATGCGCGGCGGAGAAAGAGAGGGAGGAAGCGGAGAAGGCAAGGAGTGAGGCTGAGCAGAAGAGAGAGGAGGCTGAGGCAGCGAAATTCGAGGCAGAGAAAGAGAGGGAGGAAGCGGAGAAGGCAAGGAGTGAGGCTGAGCAGAAGAGAGAGGAGGCTGAGGCAGCGAAATGCGAGGCGGAGAAAGAGAGGGAGGAAGCGGAGAAGGCAAGGAGTGAGGCTGAAGCTGCGAAATGCGAGGCGGAGAAAGAGAGGGAGGACGCGGAGAAGGCAAGGAGTGAGGCTGAGCAGAAGAGAGAGGAGGCTGAGGCAGCGAAATGCGTGGCGGAGAAAGAGAGGGAGGAAGCGGAGAAGGCAAGGAGTGAGGCTGAGCAGAAGAGAGAGGAGGCTGAGGCAGCGAAATGCAAGGCGGAGAAAGAGAGGGAGGAAGCGGAGCAGGCAAGGAGTGAGGCTGAGCAGAAGAGAGAGGAGGCTGAGGCAGCGAAATGCGAGGCGGAGAAAGAGAGGGAGGAAGCGGAGAAGGCAAGGAGTGAGGCTGAAGCTGCTAAATGCGAGGCGGAGAAAGAGAGGGAGGACGCGGAGAAGGCAAGGAGTGAGGCTGAGCAGAAGAGAGAGGAGGCTGAGGCAGCGAAATGCAAGGCGGAGAAAGAGAGGGAGGAAGCGGAGAAGGCAAGGAGTGAGGCTGAGCAGAAGAGAGAGGAGGCTGAGGCAGCGAAATGCGAGGCGGAGAAAGAGAGGGAGGAAGCGGAGAAGGCAAGGAGTGAGGCTGAAGCTGCTAAATGCGAGGCGGAGAAAGAGAGGGAGGACGCGGAGAAGGCAAGGAGTGAGGCTGAGCAGAAGAGAGAGGAGGCTGAGGCAGCGAAATGCGAGGCGGAGAAAAAGAGGGAGGAAGCGCAGAAGGCAAGGAGCGAGGCTGAGCGGAATAGAGAGGAGGCTGAGGCAGCGAAATGCGAGTCGGAGAAAGAGAGGGAGGAAGCGGAGAAGGCAAGGAGTGAGGCTGAGCAGAAGAGAGAGGAGGCTGAGACAGCGAAATGCGAGGCGGAGAAAGAGAGGGAGGAAGCGGAGAAGGCAAGGAGTGAGGCTGAGCAGAAGAGAGAGGAGGCTGAGGCAGCGAAATGCGCGGCGGAGAAAGAGAGAGAGGAAGCGGAGAAGGCAAGGAGTGAGGCTGAGCAGAAGAGAGAGGAGGCTGAGGCAGCGAAATTCGAGGCAGAGAAAGAGAGGGAGGAAGCGGAGAAGGCAAGGAGTGAGGCTGAACAGAAGAGAGAGGAGGCTGAGGCAGCAAAATGCGAGGCGGAGAAAGAGAGGGAGGAAGCGGAGAAGGCAAGGAGTGAGGCTGAAGCTGCTAAATGCGAGGCGGAGAAAGAGAGGGAGGAAGCGGAGAAGGCAAGGAGTGAGGCTGAGCAGAAGAGAGAGGAGGCTGAGGCAGCGAAATGCGAGGTGGAGAAAGAGAGGGAGGAAGCGGAGAAGGCAAGGAGTGAGGCTGAGCAGAAGAGAGAGGAGGCTGAGGCAGCGAAATGCAAGGCGGAGAAAGAGAGGGAGGAAGCGGAGCAGGCAAGGAGTGAGGCTGAAGCTGCGAAATGCGAGTCGGAGAAAGAGAGGGAGGACGCGGAGAAGGCAAGGAGTGAGGCTGAGCAAAAGAGAGAGAAGGCTGAGGCAGCGAAATTCGAGGCAGAGAAAGAGAGGGAGGAAGCGGAGAAGGCAAGGAGTGAGGCTGAACAGAAGAGAGAGGAGGCTGAGGCAGCGAAATGCGAGGCGGAGAAAGAGAGGGAGGAAGCAGAGAAGGCAAGGAGCGAGGCTGAGCAGAATAGAGAGGAGGCTGAGGCAGCGAAATGCAAGGCGGAGAAAGAGAGGGAGGAAGCGGAGCAGGCAAGGAGTGAGGCTGAGCAGAAGAGAGAGGAGGCTGAGGCAGCGAAATGCGCGGCGGAGAAAGAGAGGGAGGAAGCGGAGAAGGCAAGGAGTGAGGCTGAGCAGAAGAGAGAGGAGGCTGAGGCAGCGAAATTCGAGGCAGAGAAAGAGAGGGAGGAAGCGGAGAAGGCAAGGAGTGAGGCTGAGCAGAAGAGAGAGGAGGCTGAGGCAGCGAAATGCGAGGCGGAGAAAGAGAGGGAGGAAGCGGAGAAGGCAAGGAGTGAGGCTGAAGCTGCGAAATGCGAGGCGGAGAAAGAGAGGGAGGACGCGGAGAAGGCAAGGAGTGAGGCTGAGCAGAAGAGAGAGGAGGCTGAGGCAGCGAAATGCGTGGCGGAGAAAGAGAGGGAGGAAGCGGAGAAGGCAAGGAGTGAGGCTGAGCAGAAGAGAGAGGAGGCTGAGGCAGCGAAATGCAAGGCGGAGAAAGAGAGGGAGGAAGCGGAGAAGGCAAGGAGTGAGGCTGAGCAGAAGAGAGAGGAGGCTGAGGCAGCGAAATGCGAGGCGGAGAAAGAGAGGGAGGAAGCGGAGCAGGCAAGGAGTGAGGCTGAGCAGAAGAGAGAGGAGGCTGAGGCAGCGAAATGCGAGGCGGAGAAAGAGAGGGAGGAAGCGGAGAAGGCAAGGAGTGAGGCTGAAGCTGCGAAATGCGAGGCGGAGAAAGAGAGGGAGGAAGCGGAGAAGGCAAGGAGTGAGGCTGAGCAGAAGAGGGCGGAAGCGGAGAAGGCAAGGAGTGAGGCTGAGCAGAAGAGAGAGGAGGCTGAGGCAGCGAAATGCGAGGCGGAGAAAGAGAGGGAGGAAGCGGAGAAAGCAAGGAGCGAGGCTGAGCAGAATAGAGAGGAGGCTGAGGCAGCGAAATGCGAGTCGGAGAAAGAGAGGGAGGAAGCGGAGAAGGCAAGGAGTGAGGCTGAGCAGAAGAGAGAGGAGGCTGAGGCAGCGAAATGCAAGGCGGAGAAAGAGAGGGAGGAAGCGGAGCAGGCAAGGAGTGGGGCTGAGCAGAAGAGAGAGGAGGCTGAGGCAGCGAAATGCGAGGCGGAGAAAGAGAGGGAGGAAGCGGAGAAGGCAAGGAGTGAGGCTGAAGCTGCGAAATGCGAGGCGGAGAAAGAGAGGGAGGACGCGGAGAAGGCAACGAGTGAGGCTGAGCAGAAGAGAGAGGAGGCTGAGGCAGCGAAATGCAAGGCGGAGAAAGAGAGGGAGGAAGCGGAGCAGGCAAGGAGTGAGGCTGAGCAGAAGAGAGAGGAGGCTGAGGCAGCGAAATGCGAGGCGGAGAAAGAGAGGGAGGAAGCGGAGAAGGCAAGGAGTGAGGCTGAAACTGCTAAATGCGAGGCGGACAAAGAGAGGGAGGAAGCGGAGAAGGCAAGGAGTGAGGCTGAGCAGAAGAGAGAGGAGGCTTTGGCAGCGAACTGCGAGGCGGAGAAAGAGAGGGAGGAAGCGGAGAAGGCAAGGAGTGAGGCTGAGCAGAAGAGGGCGGAAGTGGAGAAGGCGAGGAGAGAGGCTGAGCAGAAGAGAGAGGAGGCTGAGGCAGCGAAATGCGAGGCGGAGAAAGAGAGGGAGGAAGCGGAGAAGGCAAGGAGGGAGGCTGAGCAGAATAGGGAGGAAGCAGAGAAGGCGAGGAGAGAGGCTGAGCAGAAGAGAGAGGAGGCTGAGGCAGCGAAATGCGAGGCTGAGAAAGAAAGGGAGGAAGCGGAGAAGGCAAGGAGTGAGGCTGAGCAGAAGAGAGAGGAGGCTGTGGCAGCGAAATGCGAGGCGGAGAAAGAGAGGGAGGAAGCGGAGAAGGCAAGGAGTGAGGCTGAGCAGAAGAGGGCGGAAGTGGAGAAGGCAAGGAGTGAGGCTGAGCAGAAGAGAGAGGAGGCTGAGGCAGCGAAATTCGAGGCAGAGAAAGAGAGGGAGGAAGCGGAGAAGGCACGGAGTGAGGCTGAACAGAAGAGAGAGGAGGCTGAGGCAGCGAAATGCGAGGCGGAGAAAGAGAGGGAGGAAGCGGAGAAGGCAAGGAGTGAGGCTGAGCAGAAGAGAGAGGAGGCTTTGGCAGCGAACTGCGAGGCGGAGAAAGAGAGGGAGGAAGCGGAGAAGGCAAGGAGGGAGGCTGAGCAGAAGAGGGAGGAAGCCGAGAAGGCGAGGAGTGAGGCTGAGCAGAAGAGAGAGGAGGCTGAGGCAGCGAAATGCGAGGTGGAGAAAGAGAGGGAGGAAGCGGAGAAGGCAAGGAGTGAGGCTGAGCAGATGAGAGAGGAGGCTGAGGCAGCGAAATGCGAGGCGGAGAAACAGAGGGAGGAAGCGGAGCAGGCAAGGAGTGAGGCTGAGCAGAAGAGAGAGGAGGCTGAGGCAGCGAAATGCGAGGCGGAGAAAGAGAGGGAGGAAGCGGAGAAGTCAAGGAGTGAGGCTGAAGCTGCGAAATGCGAGGCGGAGAAAGAGAGGGAGGACGCGGAGAAGGCAAGGAGTGAGGCTGAGCAAAAGAGAGAGGAGGCTGAGGCAGCGAAATGCGAGGCGGAGAAAGAGAGGGAGGAAGCGGAGAAGGCAAGGAGTGAGGCTGAAGCTGCTAGATGCGAGGCGGAGAATGAGAGGGAGGAAGCGGAGAAGGCAAGGAGTGAGGCTGAGCAGAAGAGAGAGGAGGCTTTGGCAGCGAACTGCGAGGCGGAGAAAGAAAGGGAGGAAGCGGAGACGGCAAGGAGTGAGGCTGAGCAGAGGAGAGAGGAGGCTGAGGCAGCGAAATGCGAGGCGGAGAAAGAGATGGAGGAAGCGGAGAAGGCAAGGAGTGAGGCTGAGCAGAAGAGAGAGGAGGCTGAGGCAACGAAATGCGAGGCGGAGAAAGAGAGGGAGGACGCGGAGAAGGCAAGGAGGGAGGCTTCGCAGAAGAGGGAGGAAGCGGAGAAGGCAAGGAGTGAAGCTGAGCAGAAGAGAGAGGAGGCTGAGGCAGCGAAATGCGAGGCGGAGAAAGAGAGGGAGGAAGCGGAGAAGGCAAGGAGTGAGGCTGAGCAGAAGAGAGAGGAGGCTGAGGCAGCGAAATTCGAGGTGGAGAAAGAGAGGGAGGAAGCGGAGATTGCAAGGAGTGAGGCTGAGCAGAAGAGAGAGGAGGCTGAGGCAGCGAAATGCCAGGCGGAGAAAGAGAGGGAGGAAGCGGAGAAGGCAAGGAGGGAGGCTGAGCAGAAGAGGGAGGAAGCGGAGAAGGCAAGGAGTGAAGCTGAGCAGAAGAGAGAGGAGGCTGAGGCAGCGAAATGCGAGGCGGAGAAAGAGAGGGAGGAAGCGGAGAAGGCAAGGAGTGAGGCTGAGCAGAAGAGAGAGGAGGCTGAGGCAGCGAAATGCGAGGCGGAGAAAGAGAGGGAGGAAGCGGAGAAGGCAAGGAGTGAGGCTGAGCAGAAGAGAGAGGAGGCTGAGGCAACGAAATGCGAGGCGGAGAAAGAGAGGGAGGACGCGGAGAAGGCAAGGAGTGAGGCTGAGCAGAAGAGAGAGGAGGCTGAGGCAGCGAAATGCGAGGCGGAGAAAGAAAGGGAGGAAGCGGAGAAGGCAAGGAGTGAGGCTGAGCAGAAGAGAGAGGAGGCTGAGGCAGCGAAATGCGAGGCGGAGAAAGAGAGGGAGGAAGCGGAGACGGCAAGGAGTGAGGCTGAGCAGAGGAGAGAGGAGGCTGAGGCAGCGAAATGCGAGGCTGAGAAAGAAAGGGAGGAAGCGGAGAAGGCAAGGAGTGAGGCTGAGCAGAAGAGGGCGGAAGCGGAGAAGGCAAGGAGTGAGGCTGAGCAGAAGAGAGAGGAGGCTGAGGCAGCGAAATGCGAGGCGGAGAAAGAGAGGGAGGAAGCGGAGAAGGCAAGGAGTGAGTCTGAGCAGAAGAGAGAGGAGGCTGAGGCAGCGACATGCAAGGCGGAGAAAGAGAGGGAGGAAGCGGAGAAGGCAAGGAGTGAGGCTGATCAGAAGAGAGAGGAGGCTGAGGCAGCTAAATGCGAGGCGGAGAAAGAGAGGGAGGAAGCGGAGAAGGCAAGGAGTAAGGCTGAGCAGAAGAGAGAGGAGGCTGAGGCAGCGAAATTCGAGGCGGAGAAAGAGAGGGAGGAAGCGGAGAAGTCAAGGAGGGAGGCTGAGCAGAAGAGGGAGGAAGCGGAGAAGGCAAGGAGTGAAGCTGAGCAGAAGAGAGAGGAGGCTGAGGCAGCGAAATGTGAGGCGGAGAAAGAGAGGGAGGAAGCGGAGAAGGCAAGGAGTGAGGCTGAGCAGAAGAGAGAGGAGGCTGAGGCAGCGAAATGCAAGGCGGAGAAAGATAGGGAGGAAGCGGAGAAGGCAAGGAGTGAGGCTGAGCAGAAGAGAGAGGAGGCTGAGGCAGCGAAATGCGAGGCGGAGAAAGATAGGGAGGAAGCGGAGAAGGCAAGGAGTAAGGCTGAGCAGAAGAGAGAGGAGGCTGAGGCAGCGAAATGCGAGGCGGAGAAAGAGAGGGAGGAAGTGGAGAAGGCAAGGAGTGAGGCTGAGCAGAAGAGAGAGGAGGCTGAGGCAGCGAAATGCGAGGCGGAGAAAGAGAGGGAGGAAGCGGAGAAGGCAAGGAGTGAGTCTGAGCAGAAGAGAGAGGAGGCTGAGGCAGCGAAATGCGAGGCGGAGAAAGAGAGGGAGGAAGCGGAGAAGGCAAGGAGTGAGGCTGAGCAGAAGAGAGAGGAGACTGAGGCAGCGAAATGCAAGGCGGAGAAAGAGAGGGAGAAAGCGGAGAAGGCAAGGAGTAAGGCTGAGCAAAAGAGAGAGGAGGCTGAGGCAGCGAAATGCGAGGCGGAGAAAGAGAGGGAGGAAGTGGAGAAGGCAAGGAGTGAGGCTGAGCAGAAGAGAGAGGAGGCTGAGGCAGCGAAATGCAAGGCGGACAAAGAGAGTGAGGAAGCGGAGATGGCAAGGAGTGAGGCTGAGCAGAAGAGAGAGGAGGCTGAGGCAGCGAAATGCGAGGCGGAGAAAGAAAGGGAGGAAGCGGAGAAGGCAAGGAGTGAGGCTGAGCAGAAGAGAGAGGAGGCTGAGGCAGCGAAATGCGAGGCGGAGAAAGAGAGGGAGGAAGCGGAGAAGTCAAGGAGTGAGGCTGAAGCTGCGAAATGCGAGGCGGAGAAAGAGAGGGAGGACGCGGAGAAGGCAAGGAGTGAGGCTGAGCAAAAGAGAGAGGAGGCTGAGGCAGCGAAATGCGAGGCGGAGAAAGAGAGGGAGGAAGCGGAGAAGGCAAGGAGTGAGGCTGAAGCTGCTAGATGCGAGGCGGAGAATGAGAGGGAGGAAGCGGAGAAGGCAAGGAGTGAGGCTGAGCAGAAGAGAGAGGAGGCTTTGGCAGCGAACTGCGAGGCGGAGAAAGAAAGGGAGGAAGCGGAGACGGCAAGGAGTGAGGCTGAGCAGAGGAGAGAGGAGGCTGAGGCAGCGAAATGCGAGGCGGAGAAAGAGAGGGAGGAAGCGGAGAAGGCAAGGAGTGAGGCTGAGGCAGCGAAATGCGAGGCTGAGAAAGAAAGGGAGGAAGCGGAGAAGGCAAGGAGTGAGGCTGAGCAGAAGAGAGAGGAGGCTGAGGCAGCGAAATGCGAGGCGGAGAAAGAAAGGGAGGAAGCGGAGACGGCAAGGAGTGAGGCTGAGCAGAGGAGAGAGGAGGCTGAGGCAGCGAAATGCGAGGCGGAGAAAGAGAGGGAGGAAGCGGAGAAGGCAAGGAGGGAGGCTTCGCAGAAGAGGGAGGAAGCGGAGAAGGCAAGGAGTGAAGCTGAGCAGAAGAGAGAGGAGGCTGAGGCAGCGAAATGCGAGGCGGAGAAAGAGAGGGAGGAAGCGGAGAAGGCAAGGAGTGAGGCTGAGCAGAAGAGAGAGGAGGCTGAGGCAGCGAAATTCGAGGTGGAGAAAGAGAGGGAGGAAGCGGAGATTGCAAGGAGTGAGGCTGAGCAGAAGAGAGAGGAGGCTGAGGCAGCGAAATGCCAGGCGGAGAAAGAGAGGGAGGAAGCGGAGAAGGCAAGGAGGGAGGCTGAGCAGAAGAGGGAGGAAGCGGAGAAGGCAAGGAGTGAAGCTGAGCAGAAGAGAGAGGAGGCTGAGGCAGCGAAATGCGAGGCGGAGAAAGAGAGGGAGGAAGCGGAGAAGGCAAGGAGTGAGGCTGAGCAGAAGAGAGAGGAGGCTGAGGCAGCGAAATGCGAGGCGGAGAAAGAGAGGGAGGAAGCGGAGAAGGCAAGGAGTGAGGCTGAGCAGAAGAGAGAGGAGGCTGAGGCAACGAAATGCGAGGCGGAGAAAGAGAGGGAGGACGCGGAGAAGGCAAGGAGTGAGGCTGAGCAGAAGAGAGAGGAGGCTGAGGCAGCGAAATGCGAGGCGGAGAAAGAAAGGGAGGAAGCGGAGAAGGCAAGGAGTGAGGCTGAGCAGAAGAGAGAGGAGGCTGAGGCAGCGAAATGCGAGGCGGAGAAAGAGAGGGAGGAAGCGGAGACGGCAAGGAGTGAGGCTGAGCAGAGGAGAGAGGAGGCTGAGGCAGCGAAATGCGAGGCGGAGAAAGAGAGGGAGGAAGCGGAGAAGGCAAGGAGTGAGGCTGAGCAGAAGAGGGCGGAAGCGGAGAAGGCAAGGAGTGAGGCTCAGCAGAAGAGAGAGGAGGCTGAGGCAGCGAAATGCGAGGCGGAGAAAGAGAGGGAGGAAGCGGAGAAGGCAAGGAGTGAGGCTGAGCAGAAGAGGGAGGAAGCGGAGATGGCAAGGAGTGAAGCTGAGCAGAAGAGAGAGGAGGCTGAGGCAGCGAAATGCGAGGCGGAGAAAGAGAGGGAGGAAGCGGAGAAGGCAAGGAGTGAGGCTGAGCAGAAGAGAGAGGAGGCTGAGGCAGCGAAATTCGAGGTGGAGAAAGAGAGGGAGGAAGCGGAGATTGCAAGGAGTGAGGCTGAGCAGAAAAGAGAGGAGGCTGAGGCAGCGAAATGCCAGGCGGAGAAAGAGAGGGAGGAAGCGGAGAAGGCAAGGAGGGAGGCTGAGCAGAAGAGGGAGGAAGCGGAGAAGGCAAGGAGTGAAGCTGAGCAGAAGAGAGAGGAGGCTGAGGCAGCGAAATGCGAGGCGGAGAAAGAGAGGGAGGAAGCGGAGAAGGCAAGGAGTGAGGCTGAGCAGAAGAGAGAGGAGGCTGAGGCAGCGAAATGCGAGGCGGAGAAAGAGAGGGAGGAAGCGGAGAAGGCAAGGAGTGAGGCTGAGCAGAAGAGAGAGGAGGCTGAGGCAACGAAATGCGAGGCGGAGAAAGAGAGTGAGGAAGCGGAGAAGGCAAGGAGGGAGGCTTCGCAGAAGAGGGAGGAAGCGGAGAAGGCAAGGAGTGAGGCTGAGCAGAAGAGAGAGGAGGCTGAGGCAGCGAAATGCGAGGCGGAGAAAGAGAGGGAGGAAGCGGAGAAGGCAAGGAGTGAGGCTGAGCAGAAGAGAGAGGAGGCTGAGGCAGCGAAATGCGAGGCTGAGAAAGAGAGGGAGGAAGCGGAGATGGCAAGGAGTGAGGCTGAGCAGAAGAGAGAGGAGGCTGAGGCAGCGAAATGCAAGGCGCAGAAAGAGAGGGAGGAAGCGGAGAAGGCAAGGAGTGAGGCTGAGCAGAAGAGAGAGGAGGCTGAGGCAGCGAAATGCGAGGCGGAGAAAGAGAGGGAGGAAGCGGAGAAGGCAAGGAGTGAGTCTGAGCAGAAGAGAGAGGAGGCTGAGGCAGCGACATGCAAGGCGGAGAAAGAGAGGGAGGAAGCGGAGAAGGCAAGGAGTGAGGCTGATCAGAAGAGAGAGGAGGCTGAGGCAGCGAAATGCAAGGCGCAGAAAGAGAGGGAGGAAGCGGAGAAGGCAAGGAGTGAGGCTGAGCAGAAGAGAGAGGAGGCTGAGGCAGCGAAATGCGAGGCGGAGAAAGAGAGGGAGGAAGCGGAGAAGGCAAGGAGTGAGTCTGAGCAGAAGAGAGAGGAGGCTGAGGCAGCGACATGCAAGGCGGAGAAAGAGAGGGAGGAAGCGGAGAAGGCAAGGAGTGAGGCTGATCAGAAGAGAGAGGAGGCTGAGGCAGCTAAATGCGAGGCGGAGAAAGAGAGGGAGGAAGCGGAGAAGGCAAGGAGTAAGGCTGAGCAGAAGAGAGAGGAGGCTGAGGCAGCGAAATGCGAGGCGGAGAAAGAGAGGGAGGAAGCGGAGAAGTCAAGGAGGGAGGCTGAGCAGAAGAGGGAGGAAGCGGAGAAGGCAAGGAGTGAAGCTGAGCAGAAGAGAGAGGAGGCTGAGGCAGCGAAATGTGAGGCGGAGAAAGAGAGGGAGGAAGCGGAGAAGGCAAGGAGTGAGGCTGAGCAGAAGAGAGAGGAGGCTGAGGCAGCGAAATGCAAGGCGGAGAAAGATAGGGAGGAAGCGGAGAAGGCAAGGAGTGAGGCTGAGCAGAAGAGAGAGGAGGCTGAGGCAGCGAAATGCGAGGCGGAGAAAGATAGGGAGGAAGCGGAGAAGGCAAGGAGTGAGGCTGAGCAGAAGAGAGAGGAGGCTGAGGCAGCGAAATGCGAGGCGGAGAAAGAGAGGGAGGAAGCGGAGAAGGCAAGGAGTGAGGCTGAGCAGAAGAGAGAGGAGACTGAGGCAGCGAAATGCAAGGCGGAGAAAGAGAGGGAGGAAGCGGAGAAGGCAAGGAGTGAGGCTGAGCAGAAGAGAGAGGAGGCTGAGGCAGCGAAATGCGAGGCGGAGAAAGAGAGGGAGGAAGCGGAGAAGGCAAGGAGTGAGGCTGAGCAGAAGAGAGAGGAGGCTGAGGCAACGAAATGCGAGGCGGAGAAAGATAGGGAGGAAGTGGAGAAGGCAAGGAGTGAGGCTGAGCAGAAGAGAGAGGAGGCTGAGGCAGCGAAATGCGAGGCGGACAAAGAGAGTGAGGAAGCGGAGATGGCAAGGAGTGAGGCTGAGCAGAAGAGAGAGGAGGCTGAGGCAGCGAAATGCAAGGCGGAGAAAGAGAGGGAGGAAGCGGAGAAGGCAAGGAGTGAGGCTGAGCAGAAGAGAGAGGAGGCTGAGGCAGCGAAATGCGAGGCGGAGAAAGAGAGGGAGGAAGCGGAGAAGGCAAGGAGTGAGGCTGAGCAGAAGAGAGAGGAGGCTGAGGCAGCGAAATGCAAGGCGGAGAAAGAGAGGGAGGAAGCAGAGAAGGCAAGGAGTGAGGCTGAGGAGAAGAGAGAGGAGGCTGAGGCAGCGAAATGCGAGGCGGAGAAAGAGAGTGAGGAAGCGGAGAAGGCAAGGAGTGAGGCTGAGCAGAAGAGAGAGGAGGCTGAGGCAGCGAAATGCAAGGCGGAGAAAGAGAGGGAGGAAGCGGAGAAGGCAAGGAGTGAGGCTGAGCAGAAGAGAGAGGAGGCTGAGGCAGGGAATTGCGAGGCGGAGAAAGAGAGGGAGGAAGCGGAGAAGGCAAGGATTGAGGCTGAGCAGAAGAGAGAGGAGGCTGAGGCAGCGAAATGCGAGGCGGAGAAAGAGAGGGAGGAAGCGGAGAAGGCAAGGAGTGAGGCTGAGCAGAAGAGAGAGGAGGCTGAGGCAGCGAAATGCAAGGCGGAGAAAGAGAGGGAGGAAGCGGAGAAGGCAAGGAGTGAGGCTGAGCAGAAGAGAGAGGAGGCTGAGGCAGCGAAATGCGAGTCGGAGAAAGATAGGGAGGAAGCGGAGAAGGCAAGGAGTGAGGCTGAGCAGAAGAGAGAGGAGGCTGAGGCAGCGAAATGCGAGGCGGAGAAAGAGAGGGAGGAAGCGGAGAAGGCAAGGAGTGAGGCTGAGCAGAAGAGAGAGGAGTTTGAGGCAGCGAAATGGGTGGCGGAGAAAGAGAGGGAGGAAGCGGAGAAGGCAAGGAGTGAGGCTGAGCAGAAGAGAGAGGAGGCTGAGGCAGCAGCATTGGAGGCTGAGAATGAGAGGGAAGTGATTGAGAGGAGGAGGATACAGACTGAGTCAAGTTTGAATGATGCACTGAGGAGGTTGAGTGATGTTTCAGATGCTGCTGACAAAGCTAAGAGGGATGCTGACAAGGCTAGACTGGATGCTGATGTGGCAAGATGTGATGCTGATGTGGCAAGACGTGATGCTGATGTGGCACGACGAGAGGCTGATGCGGCCAGATGTGTTGCTGACGAATGTAAGCTCGCTGCTGAGCTGGCAAAACAAGCTTCTGACTTGGCAAGGCAAGATGCTGAAGTGGCGAGGCGTGCAGCCGAGCAGGCAGAGGAGGAAAGAAGGATGGCTGAGAGAATAAGAGAGGAGGCCGGGAAGAATGGGGATGGAGGGGGGTGGGTGAAGGAACTGGAACGGTTGAGGCTTGAATTGGAGATGACTAGGATTGAGGGGGAGATTGCAAGGAAAGAGCTTGAAAGAGTGACAAGGGATGGGGATTTTGTGAGGGAGGAGCTTCAGAGAGTGGGAAGGGATGGAGAGAGTTTGAAGGAAGAACTAGAGAGAGTGAGAGGGGAGTTGGGGAGAGTGAGAAAGGAGCTGGAGCGAGTGACGGAGGCTAAGAGGGAGAGTGTGCGGAACCTGAGCGAGTCGTTGGTGGCTTCAGAGGAGCAGAGGAAGAAGCTGGTGGAGCTGCTTCGAATGGCCGAGAGCTTTGAAGGTCAGTGTTCGTTCTATCATGTGAAATCTTTCAGTTTACCTCTCAATTTTATTTTCTGCCTCTTTTGATTTGACTGATACGGTTTTTTCTCATTGTAATGTCTTGCTTCAGTTACCATCTCCTGATTAAAACTATTTTTTCTATGCGATTGTGTTGTGCAGGATTCTCTACATCACTCTGGTGAAGGTGCCAGTGAACTGGTAGACTGAATTCCTCCTTGAGATTCCTCACATCATCTAACATACTGGGAATTTCTAACCGTTCCACTTGTTCATATCTAACTTGTTCCCTTCTATTTATTGTCCGCATGTACCATAGTGCCGTTTGCTTTTCTGCAGTAATTTCATTTAGTATGGAGGGTTCTTTTATTGTTTGGTGGAAAAGTAGTTGCCCTCCTGAAAGTCAGCTCTCTATTGCGGCTTCTAATCAGTGCTGTTATCGCAACATCTTGTGAATGACAAGCGGTTGTGTTTCGGCCTCTCTCGGCTTCCACGAAGGCGCGTGATTTCGTGACGAGTGTAAGCGCGGGTGACCTCGGTCGTGCGTTTCGTGTCATCTCATTCCATGCTTTCGTGCTGGCTCAATTGTTCCGCCTCTTGTTGACGCTGCAACGAGGTGGATGCTCGTTCGTTTTTCCCATGGAGATTCTTTGATGGGTTTTTCAGTTGATCACGCACAATCACTGAAACTTTACGCCAAAAGCGCAGTACTGTAGCTTCTGGCGCAGGGTTTCTGCCAGTTTCTCGCTCATTGCGCAGTATTAGTTCCTTTCAACGGAGATCGATGGTCATTGGGCCACATGTTCGAAATTTAGAGGCCAATATGTTCTACTGTTAGTGAGAACAGTAAATATCCAGTCTTGTATTTTTACCTGCGCGGAAAAAAATAACCCATGAAAAAGGGCATCAGTCCTAAACACCCAATTTATGGTATTTAGGGTTGATGACTCCCTCGATGCTGCCATCTAAAAAGAATACAGATCACGAACATTAAAACCGATCGTTTATGGCAACAACTATAAACAATTCCGCATTCTGTTTAGGGTTGATGCTTCCCTAAATAACATGCCATCCGAGAGGGGCTTATATGTTTCTCTGCCCAAAATACAGGTGTAGACGGTTCGCAGGCCGTCATTTTAAGCGGAGTTGTCGGTCCGTCGATATTCTGGCCAATGATGAACGAAATGCGTTGAAAGGAGCTAATTCTGCGCTATGAGCGAATAATTGGAAGAAACCATGCGCCAGAAGCTAAAGTGCCGCGCTTTTAGCGCATAGTTTCAGTAAATGTGCGTGGTCAACTGAGAACCCTTCTTTGGCTGAAAGATGAAACGCTACCCCCTCTTGTTGGAGATTCTTTGCTCCTCTGTACACCCTCTTTCTCGCCATTGTGAATTCGGTTATAGTGAAGTCAAGATGGGAAAAGCACGGTTAACGGTGGTTAGATTAAGTCTAGGTATGGTTCAATCAGACAAATCGAAGGTAACTAGGTTTTCCATCAGTTCAGCACAGTTCAGTGTAGTGAGAAAGAGGGTGTACCAGGGCTGTCGATATCCCTGGGGGCAGAACTTGAGGCCCCCAGCTGCTGAAATTCTGACCCTGATTTTCAGGGAGGTGACCAAACTTTCGTCCTTAACGGTCACGGGTGCAGGCCGAAGTGTAAACTTGAAATCCGGGCTCCAATGTGTTGTGTACTTAACTTACCTAAACAACATCATAGACAAGAAAATCACATACTTTTCACTACTAACTACTCCAGTCAACCTATATGTCACAACTTCCAACTACAACTACAGCTGCACTACCTACTGCATTTCTACTCATCTCCTGACTTCGACACTACACACACACTAGATTGGATAAAAATCGAGTGAAACATCCTCCACCTGGCGTCCTATTGTGGAACTTTCATGGAGAGGGAGGATAGGGGAGGGGGGTGTTCCGCAAGATCTTAGGGGGGTGGTCTGCGGAACCGAAAGTAGAACTTAGATTCAGGGGACGGCCCAGATTGAGCACTTAACTCGTCCGGGGAAGGGCCAAACGATGCCCTTAACTGGCACGGGTGCCAGCCCGATCAAACCCTTAAAATGGTCGAGCTGCGCCAGTTATAACCCAGAATGTTCAGGGCATTAAGGGCAAATGCCCTTGAATCGACAGCCCTGCTCTGTACCCGCGTCTCCGCACAGCACTGCAAAATGGTTGTGTACAAAACAACGGCTAGTTTCGTTCAGTTTCGGTTTCCCAGAGCAGGACCCGTACGCTTCCAGAGTCCAACAGCAGTACGCTTCCAGAGTCCAGCAGCAGCACCACCCAGCTACACCAGCATCAAGGCTACCTTGTTCGTACAATTGACCAGATTCTTCGAGGGATATACTAGCGGTTGAGTACGATGTTGTGCACTCGGGGGCTTTGATCTTCGGTCACCACCACTTTGAACCGCTCTGCTCACCTGCCTGAACCTGAAACGTGCACACATGAACTTGGTTTGTCCTCCTGTCTTCCATTGCTTTTCAAGCATCGAAACACTTCCCTGATGCGATTAGAGCTAATTCATGGGAGAGGTGATCTAGCTGAGAGCTTATCTAGCAAGTGTAATCATCCCTGCAGGTTTAGCTGTTGTGGAAGAGGTTCCCTAGGATTTTTTGTGACTGGTGGAAATTAAGGTTACAGCATTTCATTGGGATCACTGGATCAGCGTCCTCGTTAATCTTGAGCAGCAAGGCCGTAATAAGAACACCAGCATCAAAGTGATCGTGAAATCAGCATCTCGTCATGTCTAGTCGAGGTCATCATTCTGACACCAGCGCGTCGCATCTTGTGGATAAGGCGTGCAGCGAGTACCTGGCGGAGCCTGATTGGACCACCAATCTCCAGCTCTGCGACCTTCTCAATGTATCGCCAGGGTGAGCCGACCTGTGAATCGTCGCAGCGACAACTTGTGAGGCGCCTCAAACGTTGTGAATCGTCGCAGCGACAACTTGTGAGGCGCCTCAAACGTTGTGAATCGTCGCAGCGACACTCAATTTCGCGTCGCTTACCTCCAAGGACATCATTTCTCTATGTTGTGAAGCGTTTGGATCGACCTCTTAAATGACGCTTTCGCTGGAAAACGAAGATGTTGATACCGTGTGTGACGTACAGCTAGGAGTCTTGTGAAAGTCTCGCTGCTGCGAAGCGTCATGGCGTGTTGCTTCTTACTTCTGTTCTTCCTTCCTATTCCTTCATCCTCCCTCACAATACCGAGCTAGACAGCAGATGCCATCCGAGCCATTTACAAGAAGGCCACGTCGTTTTTGGCTCGCGGAAAAAAAAAAAAACAAACAAACAAACTTATCTTTCTTTTCTCCTCCCCCACCCTCCAGCAAGGTGGGAGACACCATGCGAGCCGTTCACAAGAAGGCCATGTCAAGTCCCTCTTTATCAACCTCCGTCTCGCCTCTCCCTCTTACCCCTATTGCATCCTTGGACTCGTTGTTTCCCGCTCTCTAGCAAGGCGGGTGAAGACGTGAGGGGCAGTTGTCAAGAGGTCATCTCGAGTTTCTCATCAGCTTTACCCCCTCCCCCTCCCCCTCCCCCTCCCCCTCCCCCCCCCCCCTCCCCTTCCCTTCCCTTCCCTTCCCCGTCCTTGTGTTGCTTTCGCGGATCCTCCCTCGTGCCCGCCAGCAAGGTGGGAGACGCCATGCGGGCTCTCCACAAGAAGGTCACCTCACGCCTCGCATCCACTCTTTCCACGCTCCCCTGTTCACCTCCCTACCACCGCTTTCGACTATGTTATCCACCCCCTCCGACCTCCAGCAAAGTGGGAGACGTCAAGTTTTGAGTCGACTCAAAACTCGACTCTTTCCACGCTCCCCTTTTCACCTCCCTACCACCGCTTTTGACTATGTTATCCACCCCCTCCGACCTCCAGCAAGGTGGGAGACGCCATGCGAGCTCTCCACAAGAAGGTCACCTCACGCCATCCACAAGTGCAGCTCTCCGCTCTCACTGTACGTTACAGCATTGTTCAATTGCCGCCCTCTGTACGTTACAACATTGTTCAATCGCCGCCCTCTGTACGTTACAACATTGTTCAATTGCCGCCCTCTGTACGTTGCAACTCTTACATTTGACCCACTCTGCTATACTTTTTTGTGTGTGTCATGTCGTCCACGCTCAAATCAGCTGCCTGCTCTCACTGTACATTACATACACCCACATTTTTCCTGTTACAGCCTTTCTAAACCACCTGAACCCGTTTCTGTCCTCTCCCCCTTCCCAACCCTTCACAGCTGCTGGAGACGGTAATGAAGAACTGTGGGGGGGCGGTACACGCTCAGGTGGTGGAGAAAGGAGTGCTTGCTGACGTGGCCAAGATCGCTAGGAAAGGAGGGGTGCGTGCTTGTTTGTTTGTCTGGTTGTTCTCTAACTGTACCTTGTTTTGGGGGTGTATTCTTAGGTAGGGAAAAGCCCTAATTCAATCTTTCATTCATTTGCCGCCATCACCTCCTGTACAGCGTGTTTGCATATCCCATTGCCACCATGCTGAATGAAATTATACCATCCTCCCTCCCTGTGCCAAACGAGGTGACTTTTGAGTCGACTCAAAAGTCATCTCTCACTCATTCACCTCCTGTACCGCGTGTTTGCATGTCCCATCGCCTCCATGCTGAATGAATTTATACCATCCTCCTCCCGGTACCAAACTATCATTAACAGGCGAGCCCTGCAGCAACAGCAAGAGCGCGAGGGCTCATTCAGGAGTGGGCAGACGTGTTCCCCCCTGGCCCCACCTGCCGCCACACAGAGTACTTCCTCGCATTCGACGAGCTCAAGGTGTGCTCCGTCTGTCTCTGCCTGTTCCCATGTTTGCTCTGAAAGTGAGAATGGGCGGACGTGTTCCCCCCTGGCCCCACCTGCCACCACACAGAGTACTTCCTCACCTTCGACGAGCTCAAGGTGTGACCCCGACTTGTACACTTGAGGATTCGATCGACAATTCTCTCAACTGACTCTCCCTCTCCTTATGCCTTCTCCTGAGAGTGGGAGTGGGCGGACGTGTTCCCCCCTGGGCCCACCTGCCGCCACACGGAGTAGTTTCTCGCGTTCTATTAGCTCTCAAGGTGTGTGTGATGCCGTTCATTCTCTCTGAAAGTGGGAATGCGTGGACCTGTTCCCGCCCCACCTGCCGCCACACGGAGTAGTTTCTCGCGTTCTATTAGCTCAAGGTGCGATTCTGTTGTTTTTTCCTGCTCTCCGTATGTATAAACAGTAACCTTTGTTGTCTGCCGTGTCTCCCTGTTCCCCACTGTCTTCCCTGCAGAGGAGTGGCGTCCCCTTCCCCCCCAATCGCCACACTGCAAGCTCCCACCACTCCCCCTCCATCCCTGTGCCGACTCCCGAGCGTGCAGCAGCCAGTCACGGCGTGCCACCTGGCGGCCTCCCCCCGCACCTGCATCCCCATGCCAACCACTCCACCCCTCCTCAACTCTACAACTCACCCACCTACGGCAGCCCCGTTGGGGGGGGATACAGTCCGGGTAACCCTGCTGCTGCTGCTTATAATGGAGCTGCTTATAACGGGGCAGCTTATAACGGAGCTGGTTATGATGGTGCGCGGTCTCCTCTTGGAGGTCCCAGGTCGTTACCACCGCAGCCACAGCCCCCTCCCTTGCATTATCAGCAGCCGCAGGCACAGGCACAGCAGCAGCAGAGTGGGAGTGGGTCACAGAACGGGACGAGTGCCAAGCCTATGAGGTGAGAGACATGGGGGTTGGGAATCAAGGATAGAGGGAGGGAGGGATGGAAGGGGGTGGGAAGTTGGGAACCAGAGAAACCCAGCTGAAGGGAGGGGAGGGGGTGTGGAGGGGCCGGGTGGAAGATTCAGGCACCGTTTTTTCATATATTGTGCTGCTCTCTCCAGTCTAGCAGACATCACCACAGGGCTCAACTCAGTGGAGGTGTTATCTGACCTGCTCACAACAGTGCCCTTGCACAACCCTGCATATTTGCCCTTCCTTACCCACCCTCTCATCCCCACCCCACCCCACCCACACCCTCTATTCTAGCAGACATCACATGGGGTTGAACTCCGTGGAGGTGCTATTTGACCTGCTCTCAGCCGCATTCAAGGGCACCCCTGTCTTTGTATCCCCTGTCCCTTAACCACGCCCTCAGTTCATCCCCACTCCGCATAACCAGCCGCACAGACATCACCATGGGGTTGAACTCCATAGAGGTGCTATCCGACCTGCTCTCAGCCGCTCCCATCCAAGGACAACCGTTCCTCTGTGCCGATCTCTTAACCCACTCTGTTTATGCTTGGTGCCCATTCCCTCCCACTCTCTCCAGTCTGGCAGACATCACCACGGGGTTGAACTCGGTGGAGGTGTTATCTGACCTGCTCTCAGCCGCACCCAAGGACAACCCTGGCTCTGTGTTGGGGGACGAGTTGGTGCAGCAGCTGGTGGGGGAGTGCCGGGGGCTAGAGGGGCGTCTAGCAGCCACGATCAACTCCACCAGGTGAGTTGGTGACTTTCGTCAGTGGTGTGTGAAGGCGAACCCTTTTGAGTCGACTCAAAAGCTTTCGTCAGTGGTGTGTGAAGGCGAACCCTTTTGAGTCGACTCAAAAGCTTTCGTCAGTGGTGTGTGAAGGCGAACCCTTTTGAGTCGACTCAAAAGCTTTCGTCAGTGGTGTGTGAAGGCGAACCCTTTTGAGTCGACTCAAAAGCTTTCGTCAGTGGTGTGTGAAGGCGAACCCTTTTGAGTCGACTCAAAAGCTTTCGTCAGTGGTGTGTGAAGGCGAACCCTTTTGAGTCGACTCAAAAGCTTTCGTCAGTGGTGTGTGAAGGCGAACCCTTTTGAGTCGACTCAAAAGCTTTCGTCAGTGGTGTGTGAAGGCGAACCCTGGCTCTGTGCGTAGTCTTCTTGACGTGTCTTGAAATAATAAGTGAACGACTAGCTTGCCCCTGTGTTGGGGGACGAGTTGGTGCAGCAGCTGGAGGGGCGCCTAGCAGCAACCATCAATTCAACGAGGTGGGTTTGAGCAGATGAATCTCATCCCCCACCCATCTCACACCCATCCAACACCCATCCCACACTTATCCTACGCCCCCCCCACGCCCTCCCCACACCCGTCCAACACCCATCCCACACTTATCCTACGCCCCCCCCCACGCCCTCCCCACACCCGTCCAACACCCATCCCACACTTATCCTACGCCCTCCCCACGCCCTCCCCACGCCCACCCCACGCCCATCCTGTGCCCCGACTTCTGAGCAAGCCCATTTCCGCTTTTCCCACGGTAACAAGCAAGTCACACCACTGTCGAAAGTCACCAACTCACCTTCTGAGCCGGGGCGGGGCACTTTCCACTTCTGAGCAAGCCCAGTTCCCCTTTCCCCTTTTCCCATGGTAACAAGCACACCTGCCCTGCTCCGCCTGGGCTCTCAACGACGAGGTGCAAGCGGTCATGAAGCGGTCATGAAATGTCATTTCATTACCATGCCTCTTCACTCATATTACCCACTGCCCACTGTGCATCCCTTCGCCTTCCCCCTTTCCTGCTCCCCCGGTGACGAGCATCTGCTGCGCTTCGCCGTCGTTCTCGACGACGAGGTGCAGGCAGTCATGAAGAGGAGGCATCCTGGGCATTCACATCTCTCCTCCCACAACCATCCCCCCTGCCCTATCCCCTGCTTTCCCAGTGACGAGCACCTGCTCCGTTCTGCCCTGGCTCTCAACGACGAGGTGCAGGCAGTCATGAAGCGCCACAGCCAGCTGCAGAAATCCTCTCCTGCCGCTGCTAGTGCTGGTGGTGGTGGTGCATCTGCTCCTGGCTCGGCTGCAGCAGCAGGGGCAGCAGCAGCAGCAGGGGGAGTGCAGTGGGCGCAGTACGATGGGGAGGGAGACACTGACAGCGAGCCGACCATTCAGCTCGACAGGCGCGGGTGAGTCTTCTTCTTCCTTCTACTCTGCACCGCAACCCACCTGTCCGCTACAGTCACCTCCCTTTGTTCGGGCCTTCGCCTTTTGAGGGCGCCTTAAAGTCGCAGACAGGCGAGGGTGAGTCTTCTTCTTTTACCTTTCACCTGTCCGCTACAGACACCTCCCTTTGTTCAGGCCTTCGCGTTTTTCGAGCTTACTCTTTTCTAGTCAGCCCAAAGGCACATCATTCAGCTCAATAGACAGGTGCGGGTAAGTCTTCTTCTTCTATCTTTCGCCTTTTCCTTCTCGACCTCCCCTTTCTCTACTCGTTTCTTGTTTCCCTCTCCCCTTCCATTCCGTGCCCCCTTCCTCTGCTCCTCCTTCCCTTTCCCATCCATGGTGTACCATCTCCCCCCCCTTCTTCTTTCTCCATTCTCTCTCCTCTTTATTATAAGCACGTAAAATGAGGCGCCTCGTTAATAGGTTTCCCCATCTACAATGCACCATCTCCTCCCCCGTCTTCCTTCTCCATCCGCCCCCGTTTCCCCCACTCCATCATACTCCTTTTCTCCTTCGCTCCCCTCATTCACAACTCCCATCCAGCTTCTCCCCCAACCTTGCCCCGTCCCTTCTCCCCCCTCCCCCACCCACCTGCAGTGCGCCATCTTCCTTCCCCATCCGCCCCTCAGCTTCCCCCACACCCTCCTACTCGTTCCCCCACGCCCTCATACTCGTTCCCCCTTGCCCCTCCGCATTTATCGCACCCCCCACATTCTCCCCATTTTCCCCCCGTTTCTCCCGCCCTGCTTCTGCTCCCCCCCCCCCACCCTACAGTGCGCCATCTGCCTTCTCCATCCGCCCCTCAGCTTCCCCCACCTTCTCCCCGAGCGCCCCCCCCGCCTCCCCCCTGCTCCCCCTTCCCCCTGACTGGAAACGCTCCTCCACGCCTCATGCCCCCTCTGCCCCCACTGCCCCTGCTTCTTCTGCTGGTTCTTCTGCTAGTGGTGCTGGTGGTTCTGTTGGTGCTGACACTGGGTCAGCAGGAGAATCTGCAGCATCAGGAGCAGCAGCAGGAGGAGAAGGGGGAGCAGCAGGAGGAGCAGCAGCAGGGGCAGGAGCAGCACCCCCCTATTCGCTTCCACCATACGGCTCAGCCCCTGATCTGCCAGCCATGACCGCCCATATGTCTCACTTGAACCTCGCCCAACCCTCACCCAACGCACATCCCCACACACATTCCGAACCTGCCTCCCGGGACGTGTCTCCCTTCCCTGCCCAAGCCTGGGGAACAGGTTCGGCTGCTGCTGCCATTCCTGCTGCTCCCGCTGCTCCTGTTTATCGCTCAGCCACTGATATGCTTCTTGCTGAGCTGTCGCCGTCCAATCCGTTTGCGCCAGGCGTGCAAGCAGCCACAGCGGGAGGAGAAGGACAAGGGGGAGGAGCAGGAGCGTCTGTTTCCGCAGGAGCAGAGTCAGCACTACCACCAGCAGCGGCTCGTGCATTAGACTTTGGCTCTAGTCCTTCCGCTGCTGCTGCTGCTGCTGCTAGTGCTGCGAACGCTGCTTCGGATGCTGCTGCTCCCACTGCACCTTCAGGCACTGCACCCAACCCCTTTGGACCCGTTCCTCCCTCTTTCACCACCGAGCCTTCCCCATTCGACTCCGAGCCTTCCTTTCAAGCCCTTCCAAATTCAGGCCACTCCTCTACCGCCCCTTCCTCTGCTCCATCTCCATACAATCCCCAATCCACACACCTCCCTTCTCCCCAGACCTACCCGTCTCCATACACTCACACCACGTTACAGTCACAGCCCCCTTCCACCTCCTCCACTCCTGCTGCTGCGCTAGGCTCTGGGTTTGGCTCTGCCCCCGGATCTGCCCCGCCCCGCCTCTCCAATTCCCTTCCTTCTCACTCACCCACTGACCCCTTTGGTGGTTCCGGCTCTGGTGCTGCCGGTTTAGGTGCTGGCGGGCGAGGTTTTACTGGTGCAGGCTCATCTGGGTTCCCCGCTTCTGCTTCTCATCCTCACTCTATTGCCCCGAGCTACCAGTCATCCCATCCTGGTCAGATGTACCCAACCCATTATGACCCGAATCAGCAATCCTGGCAGCAGCAACTCACACAACAGCAGCAGCAGCAGCAGCAGCAGCAGCAGCCGCAGCAGCAACATTATCCGCCTCCCATTTATCCCCAAATGCCAGGCCAGCAACACCAACAGGGTTACCAGAACTACCAGCAACCCCTGTGGCAGCAGCAGCAGAATCAGATGTACCAACAAAGTCAGCAGTACCAGCAGCAACAGCAGCAGCAGCTTCAGCAGCAGTACATGATGGGGGGAGGAATGGGCGGAGTGAGTGGAGACACTCCCCCTCCTCCGTTTCCCAATGCTACGCCATCCTACCCTCCTCTTGGCCCTAATCAAAATTTCTCCCCTCTCGCCCTCCCATCTCCTGCTGTCTCCAATCGGCCCGTGCCCTATGTCGGGCCAATGGGGGCGGGTACGGGAATGGGCATGGGAGCAGGGATGGGCATGGGAGCAGGTATGGGGATGGGCATGGGGAATTCATACCCATCGCTCTCTCCTACCAAACCTCCTGCAGCTGGTTCGGTGATGAGCCTCGGCGGTAGCAGTGGGGGCATGCAGCATGGCTTTCAGCAGCAGCAGCCACAGCAGCAGCAACAGCAGCAGCAGCAGCAGCAGCAGCAGCAGCAGCAGCAGCAGCAGCAGGCGTTGGGACCGGCAGGATTGACGAGACAGCAGTTGGCACGGAATGAAGACCCCATGCTTACAACATCCATGTTTGCAGATCTGAAAGATATCAATGCGTCTCTAGCTCGGGATATCAACTCTGCAAAAACAGGGGCAGCAGTGAGGCGTTAAGCCCAGCAGGATTGACAAGGCAGCAACTGGCTTGGAACAAGAGGATCCCATGCTCACAACATCTATGTTCGCAGATCTCGAAGACATTAACGCGTCTCTAGCTTTGCGAAAGCGGGATCGGTGGTGAGGAGTGCAGATGTTTCTGGTACAGGAGGTGCAGACCAGCAGGCGGGCGCCTCCATGAGTCTGAACGGACTCACCCGTTGATCTGCAGTGGATTTATTGATCCACGATCAAGTAGGAGCTGTTGCATGTTTTTCATTTCTAGTGTTCTGTTCCTTGCGCCTTTCGTATTGCCAGGGTTGTTCCTAGGATGGATCGGAGCGCAATCCAAGCGGCTTTGTGCCCGTTTGCGTTAGGAGTTGTTGTGGTTCGTAGGTAGCAATTTAAAATGTACATGTTCTTCTAGAGTACGGATGATCCGCTGGCTGGCATTCTACATGAATATCACAGATGCGCTAATCATGCTGCTTCTTTATGTCGGATAAATAGCTGCCAATGTCTCTTGATTGGTAGCATAATGCTGAGACTATACGATGGGCACAACACTGCTGTGGAGGGTCACACTTTGACCTGGGTGAAGCCAAGCATCGTTGGATGCGACTAAGGGCAACAGCAAGATGTTGGGATAACAGACAAGTGCGATGTCAGTTTGTGCTCATAAATGCGTTAATGAGGGGAATGTACGGTTATTTGAGTATGTTGGTGCTTCCAGCAGATCAAGGTGGCAAAATATTTTAACAAAGTAGTTTCTAGATACATTGAGCTGTTTAACGGATTGCTGTTTGAAATGAGTTTCCAGGACAGGGCCGTAACTTCACACGGCTTTACGCGGCACCGCCATCGTTCCCAGCCTCATATTCTTGCACCAATCAGCTGCTAGCAAAATTTTCATTGCCAAACAGAGCACTGGCTGACCCTTCAAGTGCCGAAACTCGCTGGAAACAGCAGATTGTTTCGATAGATGCTGCTGCACCAGCTGCATGATTCTATGTGTGGAGCAGCAAGCATTGCTGTCACCTTCTTTTCAGCCAATACGGATGAGGCGCATTTGTCTTGGTTATCATCGATTGTCGTTTCCAAACCCTGCAATTGCAGAAAAGGGCCAAATTTGTATGCCACCGCATTGCATTTCGTGAATTCCATACCATGTCACGACACATACAGCTCTGCCCCGATTCAATTCATGGAAGCATAAATCTGCCAACCGAGCTCTGCTATACGCCTGACAATGAAATGAAATTCTACGGAGTTGCCAATTCGTCCAGCGCAGCAGCAATAGAATTGTACACACACAAGCACGGGCAGACCATGAAAACTACACAGCCTGAACGCAAATCGACTTCGCCACGATGCACAGTTGTGGCAGCAATGCACCTGAGCTGGCATCGGCGAACAGTCACAACGACCATTTCGTTCCACTCACCAGTTGACGGTGCGGAAGCTGTAATAAGTCCAGCCAATGTGGTGTAGATCCCTTACCATAGTCACAACGAAACCGTGTCCTTCCGTAATTTCTGGTTCGTTGATTTGCAGTCTTTGCCATCGTGGCGCCTCACGGATAGCCGGCTCGTTTCATGAACTTGCCGCGGGCTGCAAGGGAAGAACCCAACCCTGCTGTGCGGGCAAAGCTTCGTGCCGACGTGGTGGTGGAAGTTGACAGCTGAAAACGTGTATGAACTTGAGCCAACTCTTTGAACATCTTGTGAGATTCTCTACCACAACTTCCCATCCCAACTGTGATTTCCAGATTTTCCCTCCCTCCGCAATTACAGGACTCTTCCCTGAGCTTCAAACCCGTCCTCCGCTGAGGGTTTTTGCTGTCGCTCGGAAGCTCAAGCAACGTATGGTCAATCCGTGCTCTGAGATCCAAATCTGTTTCCTTCGAGCGTACTTGTTTCGAAGCTGACTAGAAATAGAAGCCGATCTAATAGCTACATGTTTTGAACTCGACGAGCTTCACTCTAAGATCACTTCTGCCCTCTCGCCATCCGTCGCCGAAAACTCGAAAGCCAGTCGTCGCATGGCTATGCGACTTCTGGTCGGAGACATGGACTCGAACAACGGAACCCCCGCCCCTTTCCCTACGGCAGGAATGGGGGAGATGAAACGGGGCAAGCCTCCCGTGAACAACGGCCGCGTTTCACCTAGAACCCCAGGGCAGGCGCCTCCTCAAAAGAAGCCTATCGGCGCGCCAAGGAAGAAGGTGGTAAAGAAAGCGCTACCTAAAGCCCCTGCGGGAGACCCGATGGAGGAGTTTTTCGCTATTATGGAGCAGTTTGTCGACGAGCCCGAGGAGATGGAATGCGTGAGGCTGGCGGAGGTTTCCCGCGCGAACAGGCCCGGCCGCATGCAGAAACCTCAGATGGGGGGTAGTAGCTCGGACGGTTTTCCGGCCGATCTCGGCTGGTCCAAGATGGAGAAGCAGATTCACAGCGGCCCGATGTCTCTCGCTCCGGCCAGCCCGAAAGTGGTGCAGAAGACGCAATTACCGAGGGCGGCGAGCCGCGATTCCGAGAAGAGCCGTGTTCATCCGGCGCACGCGAGGACGCACTCGGTAGGTGGCGTGGGCGGCTTGAAGGATCTAAACTCGCTTTGGAATCCTGCCGCGTCGCCAGCTGTAAAGGTTCAGCCGATTCAGCGTGCCAGCTCTGTCAAAGAGGGGCACGAGATGCAATCATTGGTTGACGCGCTGAAGGCGGAAATCAAGGCGAAGGACAAGCTTCTCGAAGCTTCGGAGAAAGAGCAACAGATGCTGCAGGAAGAGTTGAAGCACGCGTGGAACAGCACCGACGAGCTTCAGCGACAGTTGAACGACTCAGAGGCGCTCGTCTTGAAGTTGCAGCATGAGAACGAAGTTCTGCGATCCGCGAAGCGTGTGTTAACGACGTCGCCTACTGACCTGTCGCGGAGGCTAGCTGCCACGGAGTCGCGCAACGTGGAATTGGCGGAAAAAATGGCAGCATGTGAGAAGGAGCTCGAGATGACAAAGATCGCACTTCAGCAGGCGGCGCAAGAAAGGGATTCGCTCGCGGAGGAAATGGAGGCGGCACTTGCAAGCTGGGCGGTTGACAGCCCCGCAACTCCTGCCAGCGGGATTTCGTCTGGAACCTTCTCGCATTCGACGTCCACGTCATCAAACTCCAGTTCCCAAGACGAGGTTCAGCAACTCGCGATGGCTCTCGACGGTGTGCAGAGGAAGCTTCGCGTGGCGCGGGGCGAGAGAGACGCGCTTATGGCTGCGGTGCGTCCCAGCGGGCGGGTGAATGTGAACAGCCCAGCTGGCCGCTCCCTACGAAAATCCTCGTCAGCTTTGTCCGTACCCTCAAGCCAGCAGCAACAGCAGGCGGCACAGTTCAACTACAAAGCCATCCGCCAGACTGTCGATTCCAACCCTCGTGTCCACTTCGCGGAGCCTATCGCTTCACGTCTCCCCCTCGCCTCCTCCGTGCCCTGCTTAGCTTCTTCTCCCTAGATCTCGAGCTCTTCGGTGACGCACATTTCGGCGTTCGTGACTCGGTACTGTACATCTTTTCTCAGGAGCCGTACTCTTGGAGTTCGTCGTCGGTGCGCGACGTTTGCGGCGCTGCTCGTTTCTGTTGGCTTGATGAGCGAGGCTGACATTGTCAGACATACTTGGTGTTGTGCTTACAGATCGGTTGCCGTTGCCGGCTGTCCCCGCATTTGCGAGCTGTGCTGTGTCTTAGATTCTTAGTTGCCTCTGGGACATCCTCATGGCAGTGGCCACTGCGTGTGTGTGACACTACCTGTGAAATCCATTAATATGTTGCGTGGTATCACGTACCGTAATGACATATGAATAAATTTCCTCTAGTTATTTTGAACGTGCTATTTAGGGCTGCAATCTGCAATTTAAAACCGGAGGGTCAAGAAGCACGAAACTGGTTCAAGCTTCCAAAGGTTGGTTGAAGTTACCCGGTTTCCAGCGGAGGCAAGCTTTTGAAACACAAACCTGGTCCAGTACATTCGCGAAACTAGAATACTGTAGCAGCGACAAATGCCCAGTTGGGTTTCATCGCACGGCACATCGCCCAACACCAACCTGCGTAAACATGAGGCACACAGGCAAGAGAAACTTGTCCCAAAAACGCTACTGATTATTCACGAGTTCTAGGACCCACTATTGGACCCGCGTAGCCCGTCAACTAGCCAACATACCGACAAGCGGGCACGCGCTAATCACGAATTACAAAAGTTATGGGAGAGCTAAAGTCGCGGAAACCGACATTACCGGAAATGTAGTTGTGCGGCGTGACGTTAGCAGACCGATGGCCACGATTCGACCTGCAGAGCTATGCGACGTCGCATTTAGGTCACGATTTGCATTGCAGGGCAACGCGACGGCGACATTAAGTCACGACTTGCCCTGCAGGGCAACGCGAAGGCGACATTAGGTCACGTTTTGGCCGGCAGGGCAACGCGACGGCGACATTAGGTCACGATTTGCCCTGCAAAGGCAATGCGACCTACAAACAGGCGGAGGTGCATGGGCAGGGGGGATCACGTGGGCAGGGGGGATCGCGTGGGCAGGCGAAAGCACATGGCTCACCTCCGCCTCGCTCACCTCCGCCTCTCTTATCCTCCGCCTCTCTCACCCTCCGCCTCTCTCACCCTCCGCCTCTCTCACCCTCCGCCTCTCTCACCCTCCGCCTCTCTCATCCTCCGCCTCTCTCACCCTCCACCTCTCTCACCCTCCGCCTCTCTCACCCTCCGCCTCTCTCACCCTCCGCCTCTCTCACCCTCCGCCTCTCTCACCCTCCGCCTCTCTCATCCTCCGCCTCTCTCACCCTCCGCCTCTCTCACCCTCCGCCTCTCTCACCCTCCGCCTCTCTCACCCTCCGCCTCTCTCACCCTCCGCCTCTCTCACCCTCCGCCTCTCTCATCCTCCGCCTCTCTCACCCTCCACCTCTCTCACCCTCCGCCTCTCTCACCTTCCGCCTCTCTCACCCTCCGCCTCTCTCACCCTCCGCCTCTCTCACCCTCCGCCTCTCTCATCCTCCGCCTCTCTCACCCTCCGCCTCTCTCACACTCCGCCTCTCTCACCCTCCGCCTCTCTCACCCTCCGCCTCTCTCACCCTCCGCCTCTCTCATCCTCCGCCTCGCTCACCTCCGCCTCTCTCATCCTCCGCCTCTCTCACCCTCCGCCTCTCTCACCCTCCGCCTCTCTCACCCTCCGCCTCTCTCACCCTCCGCCACTTCTCTGGCTCAGTGCCTTTCCCCGCTCTCTCCCCCGTTACAACCACTCTTCATCTTCCCCCCCCTTCCGCCCTTCCTCTGTGTCCCCCTTGCTCATTCTCTCCTTCCGTGCATTCCTTGTTCCCTACCGCCGTTGCCCTTCCATTGTCATCGTTTTGTATCCTTCCCCGCCGCTTCAACTTTGACACATCCGAGTTGTGGTTCGTGTGTGTGCAGGTTGTTGGGAACAAATAGTCTTAAGCGCCTCTGTCGTGTCGAAACTCAAGACACAAGCGAAGCAGCTCAAATCGAAGCACCGCGAGTCAACCCTCGGAGATTAACGTAACCGCTGGAGGTTACGAGAAAGTCAAAGGTCAGCGACCTTTGACCTGACGCAGCGCGTCAGCAAGGACACACAACTGACTCGACATTGAGCACTTCCCCGAGTCGCACTGTATCGAACCTGTTGGGAATATAAACGCATGACTTAGTGCGTTTCTGTAGTATCGAACCTCACCCGATACTGAAGCACAACAAAAAAGGTATGAAGTCGAAAAGGCGCGTACCACATCAAACCGCAACTGGAGGTTGCGAGCTGTAACCGCCTGGAGGTTACGTAACAGCAAATGACGCTTCAGTGAACAATAACCGCCTCGATAGTCGAAGCGTTACGCGTCTCGATAAACATAACCGCTTCCTGTAATCTATCTTTCCTATATATTCTTGTATGCTCTTTGCTTTAATCAATTACTTGTTCTCACATACCAGCACAAGTACATTCACTCAAAAGACTTCCGCTGTGCTACTCTAGCACCTACTAGCCTATTCTCTGCAAAGATCCTAAGGCTGAAATCCTCAGCCCAACATGGTATGAGAGCAGTCAGAGAACAAAGGCTCTTCCAGGCTATCGATCTGCAAGCAACCAAGAAGTTCAATCTTCATTCAAGAAAGGCAAGACATGGCAAGTGGCAAACAAAGAAGATCATCTACGGGATCTACTCTACCCCCGGTCTCCGAGTTGCAGACCGAAGGAGGAACAACGCCCGGATTAACGTCGGAAGCGACGGAACGTTCTACTCAAGCGCCAGTAGCGCCGCCAACAATCTTCAACCCAAGCTTAATGGAGGAGTTCTTCAACTTCATGTCGTAGCAGCAGTCCTCACAACCTACAAACAGCAACAGCGTAAACAACGGAGCGGCACCAATGAGTATTGACAACTCATCGTTCGGACGACATAATCAACAAACACCAAATTCGGTCTCACCTGGTTCCTTCACGTTCATGCCGCCTCGCCATCCAGCGACCCCTTTTCCCGCCATCAAACGAGACACCGAAGAAGTCCTGCAAGTACAAGCACAGTTCAACAACATCCTGCGACTGCACACATCCACACCATTCAACGGAAAGGACTTCTACTCTTGGAGCTTCGAGTTTGAACTCCTGATGGAAGGCGCGAATCTTCTTGGATTCTACAACGGTACCTGGCCATATCCACACAACGGCGAAGACAAAGACAAAGAAAATTATACGTATCACTCCCTGATGGCTTACACTGTTCTTCTCCGAAACCTGTCGTCGAACGAACAACAAAGCACCCGCGCCTACCGGAACTACGCAAACTCCGCGGAACTCGCCTATCAACATCTGCGAAGCATTCATCAAGCATCCGACAGCGTTACACAAAGCCGACTCATGGCACAACTGACAACAGTTCAAATGCAACTTGGAGAAAAGGCCATGCCTTACATCAGTCGCTGTCAAGGACTACGCGACAGACTTATTCGCTGCGGATGAAACTTATTTGAAGAAGCTTTCGTAACCGTCGTTCTTGCCGGCCTTGGACCTCAATGGCGCACCACCCGTTCACTTCTTCGCGCTCACGGTCGACTCTCCGAAATGCATCTCTGCGCCGAACTTCACGCCGAGCAGCAGGAAATGGACATGTTCGAAGAACGCAACAATAAAAGGCATCATCAACCAGTCGTTCTTTACACCAATCGACGACAGCCACGTTACCAAAATCGAGGACACGTACCTCCTTATTGTCATCTGTGTCGGACTTCAGGACACACATGCTTCAACTGCCCTCAGCAACAACGACAACCAGCACCATTCTCTCGTCCTCTGCGACCCGCGCCTCCCCACATCGCGTCAACTCAACAACGACCCGCCACCGCCTCAACGACTACTTCAACGCGACCGTCAACTTCTACTTCGGGACCTGCACAGACATCAAGAATTGTCGCCATGGCACGAACAACAGAGTCAAACATCGACTCGTGTATTACCGGCTCACCACCGACTTACAGTCCTGATGAGCAACCGTCACCACCACCGTCGTCCCTTAACGTGAATCCAACGTACGCCGCCATCGCGAACAGTGCACCCACCGGACCAGACACATGGTTCCTCGACAGCTGTTGCGGTCATCACATGTGCTCTTCATCACGATTTCTTCAGCGCGAACGACGTCTTCCACGAGACGTCATCATCACCGTCGCCAACAACGAAAACATGCGCACCAACAAACAAGGAGTCGTGGAGCTTCAGTCAAACGAAACAAACGTTATCCTTCAACTAAACAAAGTACTCGTCGTGGACAACCTCGGCTTCAACTTACTGAGCGTCAGCCAACTCATGTCGAAAGGCATTCACCTGGAGTGTGACTCTGACGCCCGGGAAATCCGCCTTTACCACGGAAAAGGGGGGGTCTTCATCGGCCGCGCAATCCAACAAGATGACGTGTTCGTCCTCGATTTCGTCCCCGACCAAGGCACCGCAGACAGCGATGGCATAGTCGCTCTCGCACCTTGGACACATCCGCTAGACCTCGACCCGAACTTCAGTCCTGAAGGCTTCTGGTACTCTCGTACCATTCCCGAAGCTGAACGCACCAACGCGCTTGCCGTCCTGCAAACACAAGCAACAACACCTGAGTCAGCACTCGTCATCGAAACAACAACTGCACCCGTCACAGCACCAACAACCACCGAACATGCAGTTGAAGAACCAACCGTCGTCGCGGAACAACCTTCCGAAACTCCACAGCCCGGTCCCTCCGTCACGCCACCACCTCTCATCATCGACACGCCACCGACAGCCGCCCAACAGTTAACACCAGTACCACGCGCCGTTCATCGAAGTGCAGCAGCACACGCCGCATTCTTCGCCAACGCAGACTTCTATCAACGCTCCGTCGGTCACAGCGCCTCCGAAGACATCTGGCATCAATGTCTTGGACATCCTGGAAACAAAACACTTTACAACACAATACGAGCCGGAGTGTTAGACAAGAACGCCCTACTTCTTCCCAACGGACGTGAACTCGAACGACCACGCGGCACCTGCTTCATCTGCCCGGAAGCAGATCTGCCTCACCAACCGTTCCCGTCACACCACAATCCGAGCGCCCCCGTTTATCAACCACTCGAGAAAGTCTACAGCGACATACTATACATACCTCGAACTGAAGGACGTGAAGATCTGAACTACGTCATCACCTTCATCGACGCCGCAACGCGATATGTCTGGCACGTCAACTTATCGTCACGAGACATGGCTCTAGAAGCCTTCACAGCCTGGCTACCTGTCCCTGAAAGAGAATCGGGAGTAAAACTGAAGAGTTTTCAGTCAGATGGCGCGTTGGAATATCAGTCACATCGCTTCAAACAGTTCTTGGCAGAAAGAGGCATCAAACGCCTCATCTCTCTTCCTTACGCTCACCAACAGCAGGGTGTGGCAGAAAGGATGAACAGGACCTTGCAGACAACCATGCGAAAGCTGCTACGTGGAACTCGACTGCCCAACTCAGAAATGGCCAGCAGCGATGGACCACGCTGTCCTCCTGCACAACTTGCTGTCCTCGTCTTCACTGCCCAACAACCCATCTCCGCACCTGTTGTGGACTGGGAAGCTGGGCAACACAAAAATGTTACGAGTTTTTGGGTGTATGGTACAGTACCGCCCACACACTGCACGCGCAGGGAGATTTTCGCAACGTGCACAGTGGGGTCTACACCTCGGGCTGGCAAAACATTACGAAGCCTGGCGAATCTTCGACGTCCACACAAAGGAAACAGTAGCAGCACGTGACGTTATCTTCTACGAGCAACTCACCCTCAACCATTACCTGGACAACATCGCACGCCACGTCGACCCCACCGGCGGATTTTCTGGTTCCCGAGCCTTCGCTTCACCCTCCGACGCTGCTGACTGGGAAGAAGAAAACGTCGACGGCGCCTCCGAAGCTGCTGGACCCCTTCCCTACTGCTCCGTCCCAATCCCCATGAACGAGGAAAATCCTCGCGACAGCAACAATGCCGACGTCTACTACCATTTCGCCGACACTGGTTACGTAACACCCCAACCCGTCAACACCGACATCTCTGAACGATACGGCCCCGGATTCGCACCTGATCCTGAAGCGGGAGACGAAGCAGTCTATCCCGAGGATCCCTTGCTGAACCGTCACACCCCCAGCGGACTCCAAGTCCTGGGACTCGTCGCTGCAGTGCACGGGCCTTCGTCGCCACCTGAAGAGCCTCGCTCTGTCAAGCAGGCTCTAGGGGGGGAACACAAAGAAAAATGGCGCAAAGCCATGGAAAAGGAGTTAAAAGCGCTTTCAGACCGCAACACCTGGAAGATCGTCTCAGCATCACTCGCACAAGACAGACCCATTCTCTCCGGAAAATGGGTATTCCGGATCAAAACCAACTCCGACGGAACCATCGAACGATTTAAAGCTCGATGGGTCGTCCGCGGATTCGACCAAGAGTATGGTCGCGACTTCACTGAAACTTTTGCACCAGTCAGCCGACATACTTCCCTGCGTATACTCCTCGCCATCGCCGCCTCACGTCGCCGCCCACTCCGACAAATCGACGTCGCCAACGCTTTTCTGTACGCCCCAGTCGACGCTGAAATCTTCGTCAAACAGCCCAACGGGTTCGTCGACGACCCCTCCCTCGTCTGCCAACTACTTAAATCACTATACGGAATTAAGCAGGCACCGCGATTCGGGCAGCAGTACCTGCACGCACAAATTAAACGCATCGAATTCAACCAACTGCCCCATGACCAGGGCATGTATCGCCTCACTCACGACAACGACTACGTCTTGCTAATCGTCTACGTCGACGACTTACTTTACATCGGATCAACTACCACTATCGTCACTTGGTTCGAAAGGGAGCTTCAGACAGATCT